TAGCTGTCTTGGGAATATCTTCATCAGCCACCGGGATATTGTGATATGCCCTGACTAAGTCAATTTTAGTGAATATGTTCATACCCTGTAAACCGTTGTGAAATCTTGGATATGAGGTATTGGGTACCTATCTGGTACGGTTTGACGGTTTAGGGCTCTGTAATCCCCGCACGGTCGCCAGTCACCTTCATTCTTCTTTGGGACCATATGCAAAGGGGATGCCCATTGACTATCAGAGGGACGGATAATACCCAATTGTAGCATATAATCAAACTCGGCCCTAGCGATTTTGAGCTTATCTGGTGCTAGTCTCCTGGGTTTTGCAAACACCGGTGCACCTTCGGTTTTGATAGTGTGACTCACTTTTAGTTTGTCTTTAGAAGGCTGTGGGTTTGGTTTAGTTAAGTTTGGAAATTCCGCGAGTATATCTTGGAATTTCGCTGTTGTTACTGGGGAGTTTGAATCAAGTTAAGAGAGCTGATGTGACTTTCTTTGCCTTTTGTGTAATACGAAGTTTCTTTTAGTGTTAATCGCCGTTTCTTGGTGTCAACTAGAAATTCGTATCTCTCTAGAAAGTCCATCCCCAGTATTGCCAGATCTAAGTCGGCTACCGTGAAAACCCAAGGGAATTGCCTCCTGAACCCCAAATCTAGGGTTAAAGTTTTCTGCCCAAATGTCGCAATTTTAGTTTTATTTGCAGCTTGAAGTGTAATTGATGATGTTTCTCGACTAATCTCAGTTTTATTTTGAGGGATGATGCTAAGAGCAGCGCCAGTATCCACCAAGAAATTCAAGCCAGAGTTTCTGTCTCTAACATAAAACAAGCGACTGTTTAGGCGCCCCTCCTCAGTCGTCGCGACCTGGGGAGGGGTTACTCGTTTCCCGCTGTCTTAGAATTATGCTTAGGCCAGGCGCATGGTTGCATGCACTTGGTTGAGTTGACACCAAACTTCCAGTGGTACCAACAAAACTGCCCAGATTGTCTGGACATTTGTGACCTGTTTTGTGACTTGGATCGTGGTCGTTGTGGTGACCTGCTCCTGTTTCTATGACCCATTTGCATTCTGGTGACAGCCTCAGTGAGACTCTTAACACTCGCAATGAGTCCTTCTATTACGGGGTCTTTTGCTGATTCTACTTTTTGTGTGTGATTTATTGTGCCTGATCCAGTTGGAGGACCTCTTTCCATTATTCTGTCGGCTATACGCGCTAAATGAGATAATGAGGTTTCAGGATCTTGTGCATCCAAACAGTGTTGGACGTAGCATGGGAGAGCTTGTATCCATCCTTGTTTTAGGACTGCTTCACCCACTGTGTTATCACCCACTAAGACTTGGAGGTGACGTAAAAACTGTGACGGCGACCGATCACCTAGTGTTTCACCTTGAAAAAGTCTTTGGATTCTTTGACTATCTGATAATGATAAACGGTTCATTATCTCTCGTCTTAAGATGGTGTATGGTTGTGGTGATGGTGGACTTAAAATCAAGTCACGGACTTCTTTGGCGACTGAAGGAGGAAGGATAGAACACAAGTCTCTATAGCGAATCCCTTCAGATTTGATATTGTGTCTCGTGAAATAATGCTCTAGTTGAGCAAACCACAACTCAGGATCACTACGATCAAATTCTGGAAGTCGGGATTTCGTAGTCATAACAGTGTCTATCTCCACTGGTGACAAATCCTCCAGATTATGGGTTTCTATTGAGTCTGACATGAGGTATGTGACAAATATAGCAATAAAGTTAGCACGAAAAATGGTTACTATAACACGAATAACTTAAGATAATACGGAATAAACTAGTTATATACTCAAATTAGTTTACGGATAATCAGGTCTACTTTTACGATTAAGTTAAAAAAATGTTAATAACAGAAATGAGGTTAAATTTGTGTTCAAAAAGGGCTCACCACTTTCGTGCCTTAAGTAACCCTCGTGCTATTGATAGAAGAAACCAGACAAGTAGTGAATAGGTCTTTATTTCGATCTTAGCGCAGTCACAGTGGAGCGTGGGATTATCTGTTCAGACAAACAAAGGCTCTCAACATTCAATATAAGATAATAGGGAATATAACGCTTATACAAAATAAGGAAGTGAATGAATACTTGAACAATACTGTTTTGGCATATGCTTGGTTGTTTGGGGTCAACTCTTAACCAACCAACCTAAGCTGTTACATCTCTATTCATTAGAAATACTATCCCGCTTACTGCTATTGATAACATATCCCAAGAAAGTGTGATATGCGAATTAGTTATCTGCTGCTCAAAATGCAAAGTACAAGAGCTGTGATTGACTTGGTCAACCGCAGTCAAAACTGTGAGACGAATTAGGTCTTGCTAGACTTTTCAACACTTGGTCAACAAGTGGTCGATGTTTAATCTTAGGAAATCTTAATGCACCCACAGTAGACTGGAGAAATCTGAGGACTGAACTATCAGAAAGTTTTTCCCAACAGAAACTAGTTGGTACGGTTATCACCGGTGTCCTAGTGCATCATGTGGAAAAAGTAACCAGGTATGACATGGACTCCAAAATTTCTTTACTAGTCCTCACATTGATTCATTACGAGATTGACGTCACAAACCTCCACTATATACCACTCGCAGGTGAAAGTGACCATAAAGTTTAATATTCGATTTCCATATGGTTGTCCATTACGAAGGTGTGTCTTCTCAAGTCAGACTAAACGTCTTGGAAGCAAATATACGAGAAATTATACGCTCTGCATCCTCAATAGGATAGGCAGTAGGACCATAGCCACCTACTGACATTGCTTGGAAGATATTCAGAAATTCGCACATTAGTTACTGCAACTCACACCATTTGGACTAAACCAGCGAGTCCGGGGAACTTTCTGCCGTGGTCCAGTAAGGGTCTAGCACCCTTCTCCGTAAGAGAAGAATGCGGTAGAGGTTTAGGTTACTGGGTACCGATGAGACAAAATCTTGATGTCAGGAAACTCGAGATATATGTGTCTCGACCCTCCGCGAGTCTAGAATGTCGTATTGAGATAAACTTGTTAGTCTATAGAATACCCTATTCACTTACGTAAACCAAATGAATAAGAGAAAAGATAATATTCCAGCATTATGGGAAGACATTAATGCTGCATCATCACTGGAGAACGATTATGGTAAAGCTCAGCTATTCACAAGTTACTTTAGCAATGTATGTACCGTGTAGATGCCTTCTCCTTCAGTTAATATAAAGACACCCACACATACTGGACACTGTGACCATTAGAAAACTCGATGTCTTTTGTCTGCTAAATGAGCGTCTTTTAGACAAATCCATGGGACCGGATGAAATGCATCCTAGGTTACCAAAGGTATTAGCAAATTTTGCCATGATCCCTTGAGCATATGTTTTAATCTGTCTGTAACCCAGGGTCGATTACCAGAAGACTGGGATAATGATGTATGAAGTCTTTTCTTCAAAACAGATACGAGACACAAATATGAGAATTACTGACCCGTGAGTTTAATCAGAATGGTTGTTAAGGCCTTACAAAAGATTATTCAGAAGGAGTTACTGAAGTATCTAGTCGAAAATCGAATTCATTCTGAAAAGCAGCATGGTTATAGAACTGATTTTTCATGTTTCTCAAACTAACTGGTAGCCTCTGAAAGCTGGTGCGCTCTAGAAGATCAACGCTTACTTATAGATGTAGCCTATGTTGACTTCAGCGAGGCTATTGACGAAGTTTCTCACAGCCGGCTGTCATATTAATTAATTAATATCAGGATTGAAGATAATTTATTAATGTGGATAAAAGACTTCATAGCAGGGTATCAATGAAGAGCATGGGTAAGCTCAAAGCTGTCTCGCTGGAAATCTATGCTTAGTGGAGTGCCTCAGGGCACAGTATAGGGGCATGTGTTGTTTCTCCTTTATATAAATGACCTTCCTAATATCTTATCATCATCGGTTTTGATATCTGGTGATGTCATTATATGGAAAGTGATAAGAAGTGGTGATAGTTTAGAGCTTTAAAATGACCTGGAGAAGTTATGTAAGTGGTCTAGTGTTTGGCAGTTCTCGATAAGCACTTCCAAGTGCATTATGATGCATATCGATCACCAAGGTTCAGATACATGCACGGTGAATAACATTGAGTCACCTGTTGTCCAGACACACAATAACCTGGTAGTTATCTTTAGCTAGCCCCTGCCTATAAAGAGACGCTGAGCTGTTGAAAAAGGTTCAAAGAACCTCAAAGAAGCTGATTTCTGGAATGGCGATGCCCTCGTATGATGCCCGATTGAATAAAATAAACCCATTCCCATTGTCATATAGAAGAACTAGAGACGATTGGTCACAGATTTGTAAATACTTGGTGATAAATTTGGATCTGATACGCCTTCACTTTTCTTGCCTCCCAAAGCAGAAAATTTTTGCAGACGCTCTAAAAACGTTCCCAGGCCCAGAATAAATAATTTGTCAGGTGATTATCGACTTTTCCATTGAATCATCAACAAATGGAATCCATTCCTAGTCTCCGTATTTCGGGGGAAATTATGTCCATTTTGGGTAAAGTTAAAGGAAACCGCAAAAGAAAACTTTGGGGAAATGGCACAAAAACCAAACATTTCCCCAAGTTTGGAGAAAAATCCCCAAATCATTAGGGACATTTAGGGTTTGCCCCAATATTTCCCCAGAATCTCACAACACTTTGCGGTTCTTCTAAAAAATTCCCACAAACTTAGGGAAAAGCTGCCAAACTTATCAACAGTGTGGGGAAAACTCAAAAACTTAACCGAAATTCCCCAAAATAGGGATATTGAGTTATCTTAATACGTGATTGGAGCTCTGTCGATGCTTGCAAAGTAAAGTTAAACCAACTGAGATACCACTATTGCCAAAACTAACACAGCCCACCTGGCCTCCCATCGTTTCCAAACTGAAACTGAAGCTGAAACTAGAGTGGAGTTTTTGGACGTGTGACCTTGACAGTTACTAAACGTACAAGGTGTTTTTCAAAAGCAAGGTTAAGGTTAGCAGTGGTCTGACTCGTGGGATAGTCTTTTGTGCTAACTAGGAAGTAAAATGGATTACGATAATGTTGATGATGACTTCGGCATTTCGGAAGCCAGGCAACTCGTGAAAACAAGGAATAGGAAGAATAGAAAATCTGGGGGTTTTCAATCCATGGGTCTCAGTGCAGCAACTTTCAACGGAATAATGAAGAAAGGTTACAAAATACCAACTCCAATTCAGAGAAAGGTACAGATTCTTCCTTCGAATTATTCACTCCAGGCTATTCCTATGATTCTATCTGGGCGTGACGTTGTTTCTATGGCGCGTACCGGGAGTGGAAAAACAGCAGCATTTTTGATACCACTCTTTGAAAAATTTCCATGCCACTCACCTGCTGGTCCACGTGCTTTAATCATGAGTCCAACGAGAGAACTGGCTATTCAAACCTTGAATTTTACAAAGGAGGTAATCTTATTATTTATTTTTTGCATAGTAAATTAGCTTGGTAAATTTACACCACTCAAGGCCACAATAATTCTTGGAGGTGACAAGTAAGGCGCTTTGATTATTTAATTGTGTATGTATAGAATGGAAGAGCAGTTTGCAGCACTTCACAAATCGCCAGATATGTAGGTTAATTAGGCAACATTACTATTTGTAGAATTATTGCTACGCCAGGGCGATTTTTGCACGTCCTAATGGAAATGAACTTATCGCTAAATTCTATTGAATATGTTGTGTTTGATGAAGGCGACCGGTAAGTTCCTCGAAGAAAAATTAGTTTATATTTGTATCAACTGGTCATTTATGTCTCAAGTTTTACCTAGTAAAGGTATCGTAGATGAAGTATTTCCAAAGACCGCTTTGTTTGGTGTCAGTATTAAGTACAACTTCAGTGTGTCATCTAAGTTTTATTGAATTATATCATATAAACTATTAGCTTATGAGTTTTCAGTATGTCGTTTTTAATATTTTAAAATCAAATGTTTCTCCATGCATGATGTTCTAAATTCCTGTTGATCCCATACCATATTTAGTTTTTCATACATCGGTTTACAGATAGGTAGTGTTAATTTCGATATGCTTTACAATAAAGTTAATGGTCTGAGTTTAAGCAGGTGTTCAGACGTTTTGTCATCGGAGATTTTCAGTTGATAAATGCATTTCAGTTAATTAGGGACTGGCTCCAGGAGCAACTACTCATTAAATAATTCCATAGTCATACAGTCTCGAAATGCTTTCACATGTCCACCCCTATACAACCATTACCAGGGAAGTCATACTCATCACCTTGCGACGGAGATGTTTACAAAATTAAGAGGATGAAAAACGAATGTCCGGCTCTCTAACCGGGTTGGTGAGCACAAAGAGTCCACTTAGGGGAGTTGTAAAACCCTGATTCCAAACCAACGGTGCACATAGGCCCCAGGGTCCTGAAAGAACAAGTGGCGTATGAACTTATAATTGGTCAACAGCTGTCATGGGATTGCATCTCCTAACGCTGCTCCACCGCTTTGTGGATTATACCTTTAGGTCAAAGACTCGGGGTGTGGCTTCCTAAAGAAATCACCTGCTTCTTTTTGAACATCCAGGCAGTATCACAGCTCTCACATAAATTAATGATTACTACTGGCCCCATTATTATTGTATGGCGCACATATATTTGGTGCCCCCTTGTACCAATGTTTATATATTCAAGTAAATAAACTCGTTGGGTTTAGGACATCACATAAAAGCAATGTTAGAAAATACATCTCGTGTATTCAGTTCACATCGTCCAGGCGAATAAAGTGCATGCTTCTAATCTCTTATTCTATAGTTATCGATGTCATAACGATACTTAGTGTCAGAGTTTTTTTCTCTGTAATTACAATCAAATCGAGTTATTTATGGAATCTTACTGGCACTCTCGTGTACGAGTTTCCTTGACATTCATATCGCTCCGTTAATTTTTCATTCATATGTAATTTACGCATTTCATGTAAGGCACATAGTAATCCTGCTCTAGGAGTACGAGATTAACCTGAAGAGTTGGTGACATTTTAATTCACTATCCTTCAACAACCGATAAATCATTGTTCATGTTTGGCTCTCGATCCATGACTTCATCAAAGTGGCTAGAAACAACAGGCACTTATGCTCGTTAAACATCATACAATGGACGCTTGTGACTAGTGTCTCATGAAGACTGTTAAGTGACTTAGCAACAAATTTTAGAGTCCCTTACTTTCAGCAGTTGGTGTGTGACTAACTGCAGACCACTTATGGAAATGCATGTAAAACACAAAACTTGGAATCATTGTATGTCTTAAAGCCTAATTTAGAAATGGAACTAGATCAGTACTTTATTCCGTGAATGTTATCTTATTTTATCATCAATTGTTTTCTTTGTTGACCGTATATTATATTGGATATACCGCTACGTAAATCTTGGTGTACTTACTGTCTTATATATCCCACTAACTAAAAAAATAAAGGTATATCCTCTCATGACATGTCACTAAGTTTCCGATTGTTGTGGATACGGAACTTTAATGTGCACACAAGGTGCATAGCTAATAACGTTCCTCATATTTGTTTAACTTTGGGAGTATTTTTTCCTTTTTAGGCTTTTCGAACTTGGATTTGCAGAGCAGCTTTCAGAAACTTTGAAACGTCTTCCACGTAGTCGTCAAACCTTAATATTTTCGGCAACATTGCCTAAAAACTTGGTGGAATTTGCACGTGCTGGACTAGTAGATCCTATTCTACTTCGACTCGACTTAAATTCTAAACTGAGTCAAGACTTAAAGGTATAACATATGTCTGAATTTGTACTAGAATTAAGATATGAAACTGCGTATTTTTAATTTTTCCACTCATTGGTTTGACCAGAATTCACGACTCAACTATGCTCTACTTTTATATTTTCATTAGAATTGCTAATAACTTGTTCAAATCTTATATACACTTTTAAATATCACTCATCACCTGGAGTTTAAATTCATATTAATGGTTCACCTAGTTACGTTTAATTTGACTTCATGCTGCTTGTTAAAACATTTCAAATCTATTTGTGTTAGCGTTTTTTGAGTGCTGAACAAATCACAAGTATCAGGTAGTACAAATGTTTGCAGTAGTTTGCAAACACATATCGTTAATAAAGGGATGGGGCATAAACAATGTACAAAAAATAATCAAAAGTAATCTGTGGGCTTTAATTAGGAATCTCAATTCTCAGCGTACACTTTGCACCATAGTATTATTTTATTTAATTTCAACACATAAATATTGGTACAACAGGGCACCAAATATATATGTGCCACACCATATTTGTGTGTGTGCGGGCTGTGATACTGCCCGGGTGCCCAGACCGAAACAGGTGGTTTTCTTAGGGTTCCACACCCGAGCCTTTGACCTAGAGGTCTGACCCACAAGGCAGTAGAGCATCGTGAGGAGATGCAGTCTCATGGTAGTCGGTGACCAACGACTGGTTCATACGCCACTTGCTCCTTCAGGATACTGGAGCCCATGTACACCATTGGTTTGGGATCCGGTTAAAGCGCCGGACATTCGCTTTTCGTCCTCTCATTTTCGTAAACAACACCCCTGCCACGAGAAGGCAGTGAGTAGGACTTCCCTGGCAGAGACTGTATACACGTGGCTGTGTGAGAGCATTTCGAGAGGAAGGGAGGGTCCACCCCACTTTCGGCCATACCAGGGCACCATAGTAGGTCAGATATACGTGAATTATTTGGTGTGTGAACAATTTTGTCAGCAAAATTTACTAATTTTTAAAATGATTTAATCTTATTTCTGTTTGATAAATACGTGCCTAAAGTGAATTCGTATTGTAGTGGTTTAAACTCATTCTTCAACTATTGGGTTGCGAGTTTACTATGACTAGTAATAGCTTGGTTACTTTTTAGTTTTTTTTAATATTGATATCAAGAACATCTGAACCCTCGTTAATGAAATTAAAACCTTTGTAAAACTTGTTCGCTCAGTTATTATTTTCAAAAATTACCTTTCCATTAATGTAGGGCAATTTGTTAATCTGAACAGTTTCATTTTGCTTGTTAAGTACGTAGCAAGTTCCACGGTGTGGGCAGCCGGGAAGTGATATCAGCCCTCATACCCGTAACAGCACACGAGACCAAGTGGTCACATTCAAATCCTACACCTCCTAATACCTCTCTTATCTCCATGACTAACCCTCCTCACGTCTCTTTATCACCTCGCACCGCTAGGGCAAACGATTCGAGTACGCGGAACGTTATTCCTGGTCTCCTGAAACCACGCTCTAAACTACACGTAGGAGCTTTTAACGTACGAACACTGCCAAATAGGACAACAGGCTTCCTTAGCTAAAACTTTAGAATCCCGCGCCATCGATGTGTGCTGCGTCTCCGAAACGCGCATACAGGATCCGAGTAGCGTCATTCATTTGACCTCACCATGCCAAAATAAAGAACCGACTCCACACTTCGTGTATCTGGAAGCCCTGATTCTGCTTCCCGTGGCCTCGCCGGCGTAGGTATAGCATTGAGTCCTAGGGCAGAACTAGCTCTCTTAGAGTGGATCCCAGTAGACAGTCGTTTGTGCGCTGTCCGACTGAACGGAACAGTAAGAATCCGGAAAGATAGGGACACTCGTCGTTGCCTCTTCGTCGTCTCTGCCTATTCTCCCACTGACTGCAGCTCAGATGATGTAAAAGATGAGTTTTACAGAAAGCTTTCGGACCTTCTCCGAAAAGCTAGGCGCTCGGATGTAGTAATAGTGGCCGGTGACTTTAATGCTCAAGTAGGTAAACTAAGCGAAGGGAAAGACACCTAGGTGGATCTTATGGTGTCGTGGCTCAAAGAACAGATAATGGCGACCGTCTGTTGCAGCTATGCTCAGATAACCGCCTGTTCCTTGCAAATACTAACTTTAAGCATAAGGAAAAACATCTTTTAACATGGCGACCCCCTAATTCGTCCCAACGTTGGACCCAAATAGATCACATCGCTATCAGCCACCGATGGAGGGGCTCGATAGAAGACTGTCGCTCATTCTGGAGCACATGCCTAGATTCAGATCATGCTCTAGTGCGAGCGCGTATTTGCTTGCGTCTTACTGGACGTAGGAAAGACGCTGCAAGGAAACCTCTTAGGGCCTACTTAATGATAGTCAAGCTAAGAGTATATTTCAGGAACAACTAGGAAAACAGTTAGGCAGCCATGTATGTGATGCCCACCCCGATGCAGCATGGAATGATATCCGAAAAGCTGTGGAAACAGCAGTGATATCTGCTAGTAAGGTAAACCAGAAGGTTAGGGAGCAACACTGGATCTCAGCAGCATCTATCGCACTGATAGATGCTCGGAAACTCATTCCACCTGGCTCTGAACATAATGAAGAGCGGAGTCAGCTTAAGCGCAAGCTGACAAGAAGTCTACGCAATGATCGCGAACAGTGGTGGGTAGCGAAAGCAAGAGAGATGGAAAAGGCAGCGGCAATAGGTAATAGCAGACAATTGTTCAGACTCGTTAAGGAAACCGACTGTTAGCGAAACAATCTCAGAGAAAGATGGACATATTATTCATTCTCAATCCAGGAGATTGGATCGATGGGCAGAACACTTTAGGGATCAGTTCAACTGGCCTTCAGCCACACTTCGGTTTCCCACGATCTCCAGTCAACCTGAATGGCAAGTTAATGTAGGTCCTCCGTCCCTTTACGAAGTTGAAAATCTGAAACGAGGGAGAGCAGCAGGCCCTGACAGGTTTACTCCTGAGATTTTTAAGGATGGTGGTCCAGTATTAGCAATGAGATTAACTGAGGTCTTAGGTAGAATTTGGGAACTGGACGTAATCCCATCTGACTGGTCTCAATCACTGATTGTGCCAGTCTATAAGAAAGGACAAAAGTCCTCTTGTGACAATCACAGAGGAATCAGTTTGACTAATATAGTGTCTAAAATATTAGCTTCAATAATACTTCGACGCCTAACAAAGCTCGTGAAGAGCAGACTAGAGAAAACCAGGCTGGTTTTCGACCTGGACGTGGTTGTATAGATCAGATATTCACACTACGTCAGGTTCTAGAACACAGACACACATTCAGACGCCCCACAATGGTAGTATTTCTCGACCTTAAGGCGGCATTCGACTCTGTTGATCGTGAGGTTCTATGGCAGTGTTTGTCACTGAAAGGAGTACCAAAGAAGTACATTAACCTTATAAAGGCTCTCTACTCGAACACAACTGGTAGAGTGAGAGCTTATGGCGAACTGTCATCAGAATTGATTACCTCAAGTGGTGTTCGTCAGGGCTGTCCACTCTCCCCATTCTTGTTCAACTTTGTCGTTGACGTACTTTTAGAGATAACACTCTCCTCATCTAAATTTACAGGGGTTGAACTTCTACCGGAAGGTTCACTTGTTGACTTAGAATATGCTGATGACATAGTTTTATTTGGTGAAGACGCTGACAAAATGCAGAGTCTTCTGACCACTCTAAGCAACAATGCAAGCATGTTCGGGATGCGATTCTCCCCACCGAAATGCAAAATGTTGCTTCAGGATTGGGTTACATCGACACCCGAACTAGTGATAGGGAGTGAAGTAGTTGAGTGTGTCGACCGCTTCACTTATCTTGGAAGTCTCATCAGCCCTTGTGGTCTGGTGTGTGACGAAATCTCAGCACGGATACAGAAGGCTCGACTAGCTTTTGCCAACTTGCGTCATTTATGGCGTAGGCGAGATATCCGTCTATCAACCAAAGGACGTGTTTACTGCGCAGCAGTTCGTTCCGTCCTACTTTATGGCAGTGAAACATGGCCGGTAAGAGTAGAGGATATCCGTAGGTTACTAGTATTTGATCATAGGTGTCTTCGAAATATTGCTCGTATATCATGGGACCATCGAGTAAGTAATGCAGTTGTTAGGAAACGGGTACTAGGTAAGGATGGCAAATCAATTGATGACGTAGTGAAACTTCATCAGTTGAGATGGCTGGGACACGTGTTACGTATGCCCAACGACCGACTGCCTCGACGTGCTATGTTCAGTGGTATAGGAGTAGGTTGGAAGAAAGCTAGGGGCGGCCAAACCAAAACATGGCACAAGTCCATGAAGTCACTGACAAGTGGACTGAGTCATGTTGGTAGGTGTAGACTACCTGGTTGGGGACCGCGAGATGATAGCAACCGATGGTTAGAGACCCTGAATGACATGGCTCAAAATCGTTTGCAATGGCGCAGGTGCATCCACTCTCTGTGTTCTCCCAAATTCTAATCTTCTGAATCCTTCATGTCCCTTTTTTCCTCTTTCCAAATTTATTTCACTGGATTATACTCTTTAAATAACATCTCCAAACCCTAATCTTCCCGATTACTGCTTATACTTTTACTACCTCTACCACTACGGGATTTGAATCGACAACTGCATCTCTGTGCTAATGTGGTATGGCAACTCGAACTGATGTATGTATGTACGAAGTTCTACGTTGTTACTGACTGACTGACTGACTGAGCAAGTTTAAATATTTATCAACAATGAATCCGCTTTATGCGTTACCATTGATTCTCCGTCCACCTGCAAATTAATTTTATCAGACGACTAAATTATTATTATTTATTACATATTACTGATTTTGAGTATTCACTCGGTATCTATCGTTTATCAAACCAGTCGTAGTAGGGTCTAAGTGGAGGAACTGACATTATCCATGAATAGAAACCTCGTTAAAAAAGTCTTCACTTGGATTTTGCATATGTCTGTGGGCTTTATTTTGCTCATGTTTATTTTATCCGAGCACTTTCCGTAAGATTGCCGGGTCGGATTCCTCACGAATCTGTTTTTAGAATATACTTCACTATGCGTTTTACAGAAATAGGATATATAACATAAATAGAACATACATACTGAACGTTAATAGAGAAAGCAACAAACGTAAGACAAAATATGACAAGTTACACTTGTTAAAGCCATTACATTCAACATTGACTTGTAGTCTAATACATACAGATCTCACTAATATCAGGCTGTCATAGTGACAGTCGTTTGAAGTGCCATATGATTGTATACTTGTTCATAAATGTCAATAGCAACATTCTCTAGTTATGGCTTAAAAATACTCTTACATTCAATTTTTCCATGTAGTTTATTTATTTTAACACACAGATATCGGTACAAGGAGGCACCAAATACATATGCGCCACACAGATCTCATTTGATATGTGTGAGAGCTGTGATACTGCCCGGGTGCCCAAACCGAAGCAGGTGGTTTTTTAGGGGGCCACAGCCGGAGCCTTCGACCTAAAGGTCTGACCCACAAGGCAGTGGAGCATCGTGAGGAGATGCAGTCCCATGGTAGTCGGTGACCAGCAGTTGGTTCCTACGCCACTTGCTCCTTCAGGATACTGGAGCCCATGTACACCGTTGGTTTGGAATCAGGGTTTTCCAACTCCCCTAGGCGGACTCTCCATGTCCACCAACCCGGTTAAAGCGCCGGACATCCGCTTTTTTGTCCTCTGAATTTCGTAAACTACACCCCCGCCTCGAGAAGGCAGTGAGTAGGACTTCCCTGGCAGAGGCTATATACGCATAGCCATGTGGGAGCATTTCGAGAGGGAGAGCGGACTTTGTCCACTCTAGGCCGTACCAGGGCATTTGGGGGCTTTTCCATGTAGAGTTAGATCTGTGACCTTATTTGTCTTTTCTAGGTTTCTGTTAGTATTGTCATATTTCCTCTTATTATTTCTTAGTGGACATGTTTTGAATTCCAGAGTTTACTTTTGCTAAAGACGGTATGTCGTTCTACATGTTTTTAATTATTCCTAGTTAGCACACATAACTTGCCTTCCAGAAGAGAAGAATATAATTCTTGTACATTTATTGGGAAAGGTGATACACAAGGATGAGCAAGCTGTAGTGTTTTTTGCCACCAAGCATCATGTTGAATCCTTTCAAATGGTAAGTATATACATATAGAGCTGATTGTTTTGAAGTTTTTAATTTCATTGTTTAGTTCAATAAGTAACTCACCTAGCATCGACTTTCACTTTTTAACACTGGTTTGCTTTGTCTTACTAAGCTTCTTGCCATATGTTTTTTGCGTTATAGTAACATAATCTCCTTACTGTCAGGTAGCTAACAAATATTTTTAGAGATTTGTTTCGTTATAAGCTTGTGTGTTTGATTGTATTTAAAATAATTTCGAATGATTTATACATATGAAAGGGCCTCGAATTTCGGTCAAACGAAATAAGTTAACCCTCACCGTACTGTACTATCACTAGAAAACCATCCAATAGATTCAGTTAGTTTTATGCATATTTCCACGTGCCCAATCGGATTGATGATGTAGTCCATTCCTATCTACAGTAGAGATCATTTCTGTAATCACTGGTAAGACAGTGCTTCTTTACATGTCTTAATTATCTGCTTGCTAGAAAAAAAGTTGCCGTCAAAGATTAGTTGTACTAAATAATCGTCTGTTTATTTTCTGTGTCAAAACATCAAAAGCACTTCTAATGTATCCTTTCGTTTAGTTTAGTTTACCTACTTGGACTTAACAGCTACGCGCTACGATGATGCTTTATGAATGTTGTACCTTTTTATAAGATTCACATTTCTTATCTAACAAAATTCGGTCATCGAGAGATCTAATAGGAACTCTAGAGTCATAATTGTGTGTATCTTCAGCTGTTTTTGCTCTAATAGTGTCACTTGACTGGATCATGCGCAGGGTATTCGATTGCTACTTGATCCTTAAGTTTGCATTCTGCATCCAAGCTTTTATATATTTTAATCATTGAAAAGATAAGAAGTTGCCATTGAATCTCTTATTGCGTACTGGTCTACGACACTGAGCAGATAATGCATAGCGAATAACCACAGTTGAGTCCTATATTTGCATTTTAGAATCCCAGCATATATCTGTGATATTAAGTTATGAGGTTTTGACCACCGAAATATGCTGTTTCATTTCGTGTTATACAACATTTGGAGTTTCAATATTCTGTTTTAAAAAACAGTTTAATAAGGACAATTTGAAATCATTAACACTCGTTGTAGATGCGAAGAAATAAACTTTTCATAAAGGGTTTATGGTAATGTTGTGAATAAGGTACGGTAAACCAATTTATTATCGTACGCGAAATTACACAGGGCCTTCGTAGAATATGAAAATCATACATTAAATACATATCTTCCTTGAGTTGTTCTTTACATACTTCACCATTCTCCTAGTCCTGTTGTTATTCCGATTGCTTTCTGTTTTTGTTCCCTTCTCTTTATTTCAATCTCCTGCTGGTAGACATTCCACTTCCAGTTCCTGCTACTTACTACTTACGTCTGTTCACATAAGTGGCACACACCAAAGTATGAATAAAATAACATCAAAAAATGAGGAGAAGGATTTGTGATAAACTGAATATGTTTAAGTGAGGTTGACTAAAACTTCCTATCTACTTATCATGAAAAATGGTCTTTCGAAAACGTTTTGTGAACACACGTACACATATGCAATAGTCTCTCACTTTCTAGTTCTAAATACATCCCATCGCTTTATACTGTAATGTGAGTCGTGGTTTTATGATATATTGCAGACTATTGGATATAATTTCTTCGTTAAAAGTTTGTATACACGTGTCAAAATTTGAATAACAAGGCGTTTATGAGTTCACTTTTTTGTTCAGTTATTAACCGATCTTGGCTTCGAATGTACATGCATTCATTCGGGACTTGATCCAAGTGCAAGAAATCTTTCTCTAAAGAAATTTCGTTGTCGAACTGCTCGTGTGTTACTTGTAACAGATGTTGCTGCAAGAGGTGTGGATATTCCTCATCTTGATAATGTAATTAATTTCCATTTTCCTGCCCAACCCAAACTCTTTTTGCATCGAGTGGGTAAGTTCTACTTTTATTTATGTATTTATTATAATGTAAATAATCCAGGTACGTTAAAAGAATTTTCAGACAGTTTTCTCTGATAGCAAATTTCACTTCACTACTTAGCACAATATTTAGACTTTTTTTATTATTTTATCTGAATAAGATCTATCATTTATCTAAATAGTGATAAGATTCGGTACTACGTTGTTTTCATTTATTTCTGTAAATCTAAGCCACACAATCCCTCAGTTGGACTCCCCAACGTATCGATGTTAAGTGACACTTGACGACAAGGCGGGTCGGTTGTTAGAAATGCATCCATAATTTCTCTAGCATCAAGGCACTAGGTCCACTTATATCTTGCCTTGTCAAGACTTTTTCGTACTCCTCCTAGTAAATCTCCTGTCTTTTATTTCCTATATGTTTCTGTTAAGTGTAAGATGACTACGCATCGTTCTATAATTGTGCGAATTTTGCGTTCCCCATTGTTCCGACCCATTTTGTGTTCAAATACGATATTAAGAATAAATAATACAAGTTAGGGTAAATTGGTCCTACAGTCTGTTGTCTGCGAAAGGGTACGAAAGGAAGATTTATATATGGAACGTTCAAGGTGGTATTTTCTCAGCGATCCAGAGCAGTAAAATCATGCGTTAACTTGAAATTGTGGACCCAAAACCAACATATATAGTTTTTTGAGAAATGTCTGGCTCCAGGATAAACGTGACAACTGTAGTAAAAATATCATAAAAAGTTCTTTAATAGATTGTCCATTGTTATCTTATTCTTCCATTTTTTCATATTCCAAATATTATTTTATATTTATTTTTTAGGTCGTGTCGCTCGTGCTGGTCGACGTGGGGTTGCTTATTCTTTAGTCGATCCCGAAGAGTTACCTTACCTATTAGATGTATTCATGTTTTTAGGTAAAGAGTGGAAAGTGTGTCAGTCATCAAATAAACAAGTAGAATGGGAAAGTGACTGTGTTGGCAGAGCACCAAGAAGCATTATGAGCAATCTGGCCGCTCGTATTGAAAGTATTTCATCCAAAATTCTTCTCTTGTATGTGTCATACTAAAGTTATATGACATTATTATTATTTTTATTTAAACCCATAAACATTGGTACAAGGGGGCACCAAGTAGATATGCGCCACATAAATCGTTCGATTTGTGTGAGGGCTGTGATACTGCCCGAATGCCCAAACCGAAGCAGGTGGTTTTTTAGGGGGCCACAGCCGGAGCCTTCGACCTAAAGGTCTGACCCACAAGGCAGTGGAGCATCGTGAGGAGATGCAATCCCATGGTAGTCGGTGACCAACGACTGGTTCATACGCCACTTGCTCCTTCAGGATACTGGAGCCCATGTACACCATTGGTTTGGGATCCGGTTAAAGCGCCGGACATTCGCTTTTCGTCCTCTCATTTTCGTAAACAACACCCCTGCCACGAGAAGGCAGTGAGTAGGACTTCCCTGGCAGAGACTGTATACACGTGGCTGTGTGAGAGCATTTCGAGAGGAAGGGAGGGTCCACCCCACTCTCGGCCATACCAGGGCATTTGGGGGCTAGTTATATGACAATTCTTGTTTGTTGTACATATTAGAAATAATGTATCTGTTATATATATAATCCTAATCAATACACGCGAAAAATATCTGTAATATGGTTGCATCAGTTCGAACTAATCAGGAAGTCAGCGTGTCTGAGTCCGTTATGATCTCTTTGCTCCTTGCTTATCGATACCATTTTCCTCAGTCAAATGTTTTACCTTTTCACCTTCATCGTTGTTCGAATATGTCTCTTTGCAAACTACCTTTACCAAAAACCAACCGATGTCCTATTTCGTCACTTATTACTTGACCATTATTTTATGTTATATTACGTGGTTAAATAATTATTGTCAGACCAGGAATATTTAAAAATTCAAAATCTTAAAATCATATTTTTAATTTCAACCTGATACTGGTCGTCCCTCAAGTAGGAAAGTGCTTGGTCAGTAATCAGTCTCCACTTATTCTTTTGGTTGATATTAATCTGAGATAAAATCTATAAAAGCCCATGCACTGTCAAATAGCATTCTCTCTCTCTCTCTCTCTCTCTCTCTCTCTATATATATATATATATATATATATATATATATATATATATATATATATTAGATAGTTTTTACTTTAGTAGTCCAACATCTGTTTTTCAGAAATCAAGCAAAAATGTTTGTATTTTTCTGCCGAGCAATCTAATATCTCTGTGTTATTCCAAAGGTTTTGTCAAAGTTTAAATGGTTTTTGGCTCAACTTGACAATTATTTTTGTCTCTCTGATTTGGAAGTAGATATCATTTTCTCAAGAGTTTCAAGATTACACTAACTCATTCATCATTCATTTCATCATCATTTACGCCTGTTACTCCCAATGGAACCTAGGCCGCCGACCAGCATTCTCCAACCCACTCTGTCCTGGGTCTTCCCTTCCAATTATATCCAATTTTTGTTCATTTTACTCATATCTGTCTCCATTTCTCGACGTTATGTGTTCTTCGGTCTTCCTCTTTTCCTTTAACCTTGGGGGCTTGCCTTGTGACGCAGTTGGGTGCCCTCCTCAATGTGTGTCCTATCCACTTCCAGCGCTTCTCCCTGATTTCTTTCTCTGCTGGGATCTGGTTTGTTCTCTCCCATAGTAGGTTGTTACTGATAGTGTCTGGCTAACGGGTCCGAAGTATTTTGCATAGACAGCTGTGAATAAACACTTATATCTTTTGAATGATGGCTTTCGTAGTTCTCCAGGTTTCTGCCCCATACAGTAGAACTGTCTTGACATTTGTATTGAAAATCCTGACCTTGGCATTGGTTGACAGTTGCTTTGAGTTCCAGATGTTCCACAGTTGTAAATATGCTGCTCTTGATTTGCCGATCTGCGCCTTCACATCTGCATCAGATCCACCCTGTTCATCAATGATGCTGCCCAAATATGTAAAGGTTTTTACATCTTCCAAATCTTCTCCGTCAATTGTGATTAGATTGGTGCATGCTGTGTTGTATCGGAGAATCTTGCTTTTCCCTTTGTGTATATTGAGACCTACTGCTGCTGAGGCTGCTGCTACACTGGTCGTCTTCTCCTGCATTTGTTGTTGCGTTTGGGATAGAAGGGCCAGATCATCTGCGAAGTCTAGGTCGTCTAGCTGCATTCTAGCTGTCCACTGTATCCCACGCTTCCCCTCAGATATTGACATCTTCATGATCCAGTCGGTCACCAGGAGAAAGAGAAAGGGTGAGAGTGAGCAACCTTGCCTAACACCAGTCTTTACCTCGAACAAGTCTGTCAGTTGTCCTCCATGCACGATTTTGCAGTGTAATCCATCATATGAACTCTGTATGATATTGACTATCTTCTGAGGCACGCCGTAGTGTCGAAGAAGTTTCCATAGTGTTGTTCTGTCCACGCTATCAAATGTCTTTTCGTAGTCAATGAAGTTGATGTAGAGTGATGAATTCCATTCAATTGATTGTTCCACAATGATCCGTAGAGTTGCGATTTGGTTTGTACACGATCTATCCTTACGGAATCCCGCCTGTTGGTCACGAAGTTGGGCGTCTACGCAGTCCTTCATCCTGTTTAACAATACCCTGTTGAAGACTTTTCCCTGTAGTTGTCACACTTGCTGAGATCGCCTTTCTTCGATATTTTGATCAGGAGTCCTTCTTTCCAGTTTGTTGGTACTTGTTCCTCATCCCAAATCTTATTGAAGAGAATGTGGAGTATCCCTGCAGTTGCCGCTACGTCTGCTTTTAGTGCCTCTGCTGGGATGTTGTCCGGTCCTGCTGCTTTGCCACTCTTGATTTGTCTGATGGCCATGCTGATCTCTTCAGTTGTTGGTGGGCCAACATTGATTGGGAGGTCCGTGGGTGCTGCTTCGATGTTGGATGAATTCAGTGGGGCTGGTCGATTCAAGAGTTCTTTGAAGTGTTCTACCCACCTGTTTCGTTGTTCTTCAATGTTGGTGATTACCTTGCCTTCCTTGCTTTTCACTGGTCGTTCTGGTTTACGATGATTTCAAGAGGGTTTCTTTGTTGTGTCATACAGTTGCCTCATGTTTCCTTCTCTCGCAGCCTTTTCCACCGTCATTGCTAAATCTTCCACATATTTACGTTTATCGGTTCTGATGCTCCTCTTCACTTGCTTGTTTGCTTCTGTGTATTCAGCTTGTGACTTGGCTTTTGCTGCTCATCTTCGGCTGGTATTGATTGCTGTCTTCTTGTTCCTCCTTTCTTGAATCTTATCCAGTGTATCAATAGTGATCCATTCCTTGTGATTGTGCTTCTTGTGACCCAGAACCTCATGACATGTTGAAGTGATTGCCTCTTTCATCCCTTTCCAGTTGTTCTCCATAGTAGTTCCCTCTCCATTGAGTAGATTATAAAAGGCCTGGAACTTGTTGCTGAGGACTAGCTTGAATTTGTTGAGTTTGTCAGTATCTCGAAGAAAAGCCGTATTGAACTTTTGTGCTGTTGTCCGCCCCATTGTCCGGTGCTTTCTGAGTTTCAATTTCATCTTGGAGACCAGTAGGTGATGATCTGATGGTATATCAGCTCCTCTCCTGGTTCTCACATCCTCCATTGTCCTCCTGAACCTTTTGTTGATGCAGATATGGTCGATTCGGTTCTGCGTAGTGTGATCCGATGAAGTCCATGTGGTTTTGTTTATGCGTTTGTGTGAAGATGTAGTGCCGCTTATGACCAGTTTATTGAAGGCACATAGGTTTGCAAATCTCTCACCATTTTCGTTCATTTCTCCCAGTCCATGTCGTCCCATGATGTCTTCATATCCAGTGTTATTCATTCCAACCTTGGCATTTAGATCTCCCATCAGAATGGTCAAGTCCTTTGTCGGGCACTTGTCGACGATTGACTGCAACTTATCGTAGAATTGTTCTTTAACGTCTTCATTGTAGTCGTTGGTAGTCGCATAACATTTGATGACGTTCATTAAAATGTCCTCTTTCTTTGTTTTGAAGGAGGCTTTGATGATCCTTGGTCCATGAGATTCCCACCCTATAAGTGCATTTTGTGCTTGTTTGGACAGCATCAATACAACTCCTTGTGTATGTGGAGCATTTTCTTCTTCATGGCCGGAGTATGACAGAAGCTCCCCTGAAGCTAGTCATTATTGTCCAACTTGCGTCCAGTATGTTTCACTGATCCCAAGCACCTCTAGGTTGTATTTTCTCATTTCTGCAGAAATTTGAAAGACTCTCCCAGTCTTCCACGTTGTACGATCATTCCATATACCTAAATAAATGGTTGCTCTAGTTGTCAAAAGGGGCATCGGCCTTGTGGCTTCCGAAGGAACTCGTCTTTCACAATGAGGCGTCATAACTCTTCTAAATGAAGACCTGACTCCCAGGGCAGAGTTTAAGTGGCTTGAATAATTTTTTCTGGTTAGCGTTTTTTAGTGAGTTAGTTTTCTACGGGATGGGGTCGCTAACCTCATGCTCAACTCTCCTCCTTTAACCGGGCTTAGAACCAGCAGTAGCCCCAGAGGGCTCCAGGCGGAGTTGATTATACTAACTAGTGGAAGTTAATTTTTAGGTGTTTTGTTAGGCGATCATCCGGTTTTAGCACTGAAATGCCAGCTTCCTTTTCGTAAGTCTAATAAATTAGCGGAGTGAGATAAAGATTGAATATGCGTATATCTCAGATAACTAAGTTAAACTTTAACGAGTACCATACACACATGGACATCTCTTATGCGTTATTTATTCTTGAACTGTCATGAGCTCGTTTACAAGTGATATTATATTCTACCGGCTGAGCCTATCAAGAACAAGTTTAGGCTATTTATGTAAAACTAAGTGGAAAAATATTTCCAGCTCATATTTAGAGTTATTTTAAAACTGAAAAATAATATTGTTCCATATCCCTGAAGGCTTCGAAATTTAAATTTATGTAATGAATTTCCTTGATGAAAAACATTGTCGGAATCCCTCAACAAGAAAATTAGTTTAATCATTTTAGTTAGTAACTGCTTTCTAAAGAATCAATTTTGAAATGTTTAGGAATCAATGAAGAAGGTTTGTGTCAATGCGATGAAGCGATTCCTTCAAACTCGTCCAAATGCATCTTGGGAATCTATTCGACGTGCAAAAGATCTAAGAGATGCACATTTTTCATTGCCTGTTCACCAGATTTTTGGTAAGAATACAGTAAAAAGATTTATTTTATATTAGCTTCATCCGAGTATATTATTCATAGACTTTTAATATAGATTTTGTGAATACAAACGCATGATTAAAGATTATCATACATTGCGTAATGAGTAAATCAGAGATTCATAAATGATTAATAAGCCAACTTTGTATATTATTCATTGTGTGATTGGTGCTGTGATTTCCATAGAGTTCAAATTATGAAATGTCACGTAAATATATCGTTATTTTACAGGCTATAAAACTCACTGCATAATAAATCTTTGTAGATTAACCTTTCAACGATGTAGATTTGTGTATTACTGCAATAAGGGTGAAGCTGTAACCTTACTAATTGTTTAGTGAATGTGTATTTGGATAGATCGGCACAGATCGTGTAAACTTTATTTATTTAACGGATTGTAAAGTACAGCCAGTTGGATAGATTTCAGTCAAGAATTACCATAAAGAATATTCAAGTTGCTTTATCACCAGCAATTAAAAAGTTGGCTTAAAATGTACATTTAATAAGTTTTTTTTACACATATGATAGTTGTTTAAGACGGAATATTCCAAAATTACACTGTCGAAGTTATAAGTTAATATCAACTTAATATCAATTTCATCCAGTACAACCAAGAGGAGTCATTTTGGAAACCACAGGAATGACATGCTATCTTCTTCCAATTGAAGGGTTATTATTGTTACATTCTTATCATTTTAAATTTCGGCGTCTTGGACTGTAAAACAAAATTTAATGTAATCTAAACAGTCTAGTCATAGGCCACGATACATAATTACACTTAATATATTGCTGGAAACCTATTCAAGTTGTTCATTAACAAAGTAGGCACAGTGATGTGTTAATTTTCTCAAAGAATATTTTGTTGATACATTACTGTTGTTTTTATTGTGTATACTATACCCTTGAATCTTGTTTCCTTTATAATTCCTTTTCCATTACGAAGATACCTTTTATTCGCTTTGTAGATAATTCAGCAGAAAAAGAAGATGGGACAAGTAATGAGATATTAGGTGTCATACGACAACTCAAATTGCCTGTGAGTTACATGCATTAAACCTTTTCATAAGATAATAATTGTTTATATTCTGACAGTGTTAAACAATGAACACTGTCAGTTTTGTATCTCACGCATACGGAATACATGATTAAAAAGGATAAACAAAAAGTATTTTCTTCTGGACATATGAAAGTAGCTGCTGGACCTTATAACTCCTTCTACACTGCTCTTATCAATATAGTTTATTTTTGGTTCGGTTGAATTCATATTGAGTTTTGAATGGACATCATTCTCTCGTATATGCCAAGCGGATTTTTTTTACAATGACTTTTTAGTACTCAGTTGTGTACAGAAACATTTTCGACAAGAAACGTCTGGATAATATTTATAAATAAAATGAGGAGTACTAGATAAATGAACTCGTAAATTCTTATGTATACATATATTTGACTTCTGTTTTTATGAGTTTTAACACCTGGTTAGTCTAAAGCAGTTTTCAACACAAATCGATAGCAAATAAATGATCAAAGCAATCTGGAGCTAGTAAATTATTATTTCGTTATCAGTTTCGAGCACTTAAGGAAATCATACAATTCATTTATAATATCATGGGTTAACCACTGAAATCTATTCTTCAACATCGTTCAATTTCAGGTAATCGTTGATACAGAACAGTTGATTAAGTTTTGACGTGTAGGTCAAGAATTTTTGCTCGTCATCATGAAGTTTGAACTCTCAGGCTTTTTTCTTTCATTGAAACAATGAACTGTTCAATGTTAGGTCACCACTGAAAGCCTGTAAGCACTAGATGTCTGTTTCATTCTATTAAGGGAATCCTCAGCAGGGTGCATCCATGATCTCGCACGCAGGGTTTGAACCCAGAACCTTCGGTTTCGCGCGAATGCTTAAACTCGAGACCACTGAACTGGGATCCCACGGTGTTAATGTCTAACTTCAAACAATCCGCGATATTGCGCAACCATCTTCCATTGTCTTCAGTGGGTGACTGCTTCACGGTTGTGCTCTATTAGTCACGGCCTTTCACTAGAACTCCCAGAATTACCTGTCGAAGCTAGTCACCGTTTTTGTCTATTGAGCGCGAAAAGACTTTGTTTTTGTTGTGCTTCTAAATTTACAAGCTCCCTGTTTTCGTTCTATGTGAATAGACGCTGAGTTATTCCTCAAGTATTTCAGATTACGATCTTACAACATTTCGACTATGAAGCATTAAACAAAAACTTACCACGTATATTTCCATGTTGAAGCTTACTGAATTATCGTTTTTCACATTTTAATTGCTTCAAGTAATTTTGATACTTATTCAATAGTATACTGGGATTTTATTTGTACAATGTTATACTTATACAGAAATGTGCCTTAAAGAATGTTTAAAGTTCCTTTTCTTACTTATTTCCTTACAGACTATATTTGAAGCTTTGGGCAAACATGTGAATCCTGAAGCTTTTGCTACAATGATGAAGAAAAGAAAACTACATGATCACATTATAGCACGCCGTGCTGCTCAGCGAGCTGTAGGTCAAACCAACAATGTACTGAAGGTGAGACATTATATATATATATATATATATATATATATAACTACCTTAAAACACGAGCTTCGGTGGCCTCCTGCATACGTTCTACACTAGCCGTTTCAGAGAACATCAAACCGTACATTATTTGCGACACTTAGATCGAGTACAAAAAACTATGAGGCAATCAGTTTATGATATGGTGCCATTAAATGAAGGATAGTTACATTGTATGAGGTTCTGTTCTCTCTTCATATGTTTCGAGATGAATCGTTTTGATTCATTATGGCAGCATTCATCAATCTGTAAATAATGTGCGTAGTTAAATTATAATCCTATTTCTTCTCCATATTCTCTTTTTAATGAATTTCATTGGCATTGACTTCCTTGATGTACAATACTATTCTGTCATTGACGTACTTTTAGAGATAACACTCTCCTCATCTAAATTTACAGGGGTTGAACTTCTACCGGGAGGTTCACTTGTTGACTTAGAATATGCTGATGACATAGTTTTATTTGGCGAAGACGCTGACAAAATGCAGAGTCTTCTGGCCACTCTAAGCAACAATGCAAGCATGTTCGGGATGCGATTCTCTCCCTCGAAATGCAAAATGTTGCTTCAGGATTGGGTTACATCGACACCCGAACTAGTGATAGGGAGTGAAGTAGTTGAGTGTGTCGACCGCTTCGCTTATCGTGGAAGTCTCATCAGCCCTTGTGGTCTGGTGTGTGACGAAATCTCAGCAAGGACACAGAAGGCTCGACTAGCTTTTGCCAACTTGCGTCATTTATGGCGTAGGCGAGATATCCGTCTATCAACCAATGGACGTGTTTACTGCGCAGCAGTTCGTTCCGTCCTACTTTATGGCAGTGAAACATGGCCGGTAAGAGTAGAGGATATTCGTAGGTTACTAGTATTCGATCATAAGTGTCTTCGAAACATTGCTCGTATATCATGGGACCATCGAGTAAGTAACACAGTTGTTAGGAAACGGGTACTAGGTAAGGATGGCAAATCAATTGATGACGTAGTGAAACTTCATCAGTTGAGATGGCTGGGACACGTGTTACGTATGCCCAACGACCGACTGCCTCGACGTGCTATGTTCAGTGGTATAGGAGTAGGTTGGAAGAAAGCTAGAAGCGACCAAACCAAAACATGGCACAAGTTCATGAAGTCACTGACAAGTGGATTGAGTCATGTTGTTAGGTGTAGACTACCTGGTTGGGGACCACGAGATGATAGCAACCGATGGTTAGAGACCCTGAATGACATGGCTCAAAATCGTTTGCAATGGCGCAGGTGCATACACTCTTTGTATTCTCCCAAATTCTAATCTTCTGAATCCTTCATGTCCCTTCTTTCCTCTTTCCAAATTTATTTCACTGTATTATACTCTTTAAATAACATCTCCAAACCCTAATCTTCCCGATTACTGCTTATACTCTTGCTACCTCTACCCCTACAGGATTTGAATCGACAACTGCATCTCTGTGCTAATGTGGTGTGGCAACTCGAACTGATGTACGTACGTACGAAGTTCTACGTTGATACTGACTGACTGACTGCAAATAACCAAACGAACATAAAATCATTTCATTGATCTTAAAGTTATGTTAGTCCGTCAGTGAATGAAGCCTTTTTAATTAGTTTATTGTATATTATAATCATATTGTCTAGTTACGTAGTAGGTTTTCATAATTATGGAATAGTTGTGTAGTAGCAGTTCAATGGCCGGGATCTTTGAATTTCGGGTTCAAACCCCGTTCTACTTAAGTTCAAACACCCAGGTAGTATCATTAGCACTCACATTTAAAATGGAACTTGAAGCCAATTACAAAAATCTGTAACTGGTGAATATGTTAACATAAATTACTGTTTCACCTATACATTTAAACGATTTTACTCAAATCCCTATAATTCTCTCCCCTCTTAGAATTTAGTAGAGAGAAAGGTCTCATTAACGGACCAACTAGGTGCATGTAATGCTAATGATGAAATGTCGGATAATTTGGAAAATATTGACTTCTTTGTCCCATATTCACGTGGTGATGAAGCAACAGAGAATGGATTATCAATTAATGGAACAAAAAGTCAATTTTATTTAGATGCAGCAGCGGCTTCACTAGATTTACCAAATGATGAATCCCAAAAAGTCAAGTAATGGCAATTTTTAATTTATTTAATTTAATGATTAATTGATTTCATTAATTGGATTGCTTTCTCAACTAAGTTTATACTTTGCAAAACATCTTTTTGTGCTTATATAGTGATTATCTTGATTAGATTTTTAATCATTTTTTATTATTTATCACTATACTCTTTTACTGTCTTGTATTCCTAAAACACTATCTCACTATTCGGTTCCCTTAGGAAAATTAAAAGCGAAAGAAAACAGTTCATGTCTCAGTAAAGTTTATTTAGAATACATCTTCTCCTTTAGTGCTGATTGGTTGAAAAGGAACCAATCAACGTGTTTTGAGCGTGGATTAGTTAGGACTGTCGTGTCAACATTCATCTGGAGAAATACCTTGATAAATAAAATACTCGGGTCTCAAGTATGAGTGATGAATTCAAATCACACTTCATATAATTTGATTTGTTCAGCCTGGTGATATTACTATCACCCTTCACGCTAATCTATACAGCTCAAAGCAAAGTACATAAAAAATGCACGTGATAAGAGTCTCACTATTTATTTCATTATGTTTTTTTAATCTAAAGCAAACATTCAGTCATTAATTTTTATTATGGGTTTATCACCAATAGGTTCATTTTAGTTAGTCAGAAATGTTGAATGAAACTTTTTATAACCGATGGAATACAAAGTTGGTAAAGATTATTACGATTTTTTAAACTTGTGCCGTACACTTAAACTTCATTAAATAAATAACTTATGTCCTACATTTCGGTTCTTTTATTTCCTAATAATAATTCAGTGGTGGAGTTGCAGGATCACATAGTCGAAAGGTTGTTTGGGATCGTAAACGCAAACGATTTACTGGAATGGATGCTGCTCAAGGTAAAGCAAATATGAAACGTATTAAAACTGAAAGTGGTGTATGGATTCCTGCATCATACAAAACAGACAAGTGGGTCATTATCATTAATTGAATCTAATTTTCCCCAAAAATATGACATCATCAGTCACTGTAATTGATTTATTTTACTGAATACCTTTCACTGTATAAATAAGTATATACATTTGTCTAAATTGAAAATTAAAGGTCTATTATGTGCTGGTTTGTTTATGAGATATGAAATAACGTGAAATATTAACCCCTAAATAATGCTTCTGATGCATTTTATTTTACATAGTTATGTTGAAGTGCAATTGTATGACAAAATGAGGGACTTACTAATCCCTTACAATTCATTGCACACTATTCTATTCTAATTGTGACTTTTTTTTCACAACGTAATGCATCTCTCTCTAACCGTTATATTCTTATTTTTTTGTTAAGATATAAATTATGGCTTAAAAAATCGAAGTCAGATATTATACAGGAAACAAGCAAAAATACAGAAGAATCATCCTCCTTTATCGATGCTTCAAATACGCGTAAACGATTTTCAAAGTATGGTGATGTAATTGAATTACCTGATACAAATGAAGTGACCGGTAAACAAAACCACTTTTTCAAATCATCGACAGGGCACAAGAGTAAAAAACAGCAATTAACACCGAAATTCACAGTAATTGGATCACAAAAATGGCGTAAGTAAAACGTTTTGTCAATAATCTAACTTTAACAATCATTTTTTAAAACATCAATATATCTTTATGATCAAATTTTTTGGCTAAATGGTGTTCTTTAGTAATTTTTATTCAGTCGATAAAACTTAATCAAGTCATTAACACTTGGACTGAGCCATATTAACAGATGTAGAATACCTAATTGGGGTACGGGGGATTCTCATATCCAGTGATTAGAGACTTTGAATGAAGTAGCTCAAAGTCGTTTGCGATGGCACAGGTACATTCACCCTTTTTCTTCACCCAGATTCTAAGTTTCTGAATTCTTTCTAATTTTTTCAAAATTTAACTAATTTATACTTTTTTTGAATCGTATCTCCGTTCCCTAATCCTTCCAACCAGCACTCATACTGTTACTACCTCTACTAATCTGAGATTTATACTGACGAGTTTATGTCTGTACCGATGGGTTGTAGCAACTCGGACCGATGCCCTTACGGACCAGGTTCTACCTTTCTACTGAATGACAGTTTTGCTGAAATTTGCCATAATCACCATTATCATTTTATGTAACTGTAGGATTAAATTTGGCTCACTTGTAGTAGTAATAGTATATAATCAAAAGTATCAGACCTCACTTTTACATAACCTGTTAATCAAATACATGTACATACTTCTCAGTAAAATGTCAAAATCATACATGAAATACATTATTTGCACATCTTTTAATAGTCTCTTACAAGCTTCACTGTACCCTCATCCCTATTTTTGTCTTGATTGCTTTCAGTTTCCTTCTCTTTTTATATCAATCTTTTCAACTCTATGCCCGCACACATTCCGCTTCCGACTGGTTACAGATTACTTATATCTGCAAACATAAGTAGCATACTCCGCAATTATACTAGCCAAACAAACAGATGGTTTGTACAAACATATCCTTTAACTTGATTTCTCCATATATATATATATATATATATATATATATATATATATATATATATATATATATATATATATATATATTTGTACACTAATTTTAGAAGACCGAGCAACTTCTCGACAGAAAGAACGTTTACAGAATGCAGAAGAAAGGCAAAAAATACGCAAACCGAAAGGATCTCGAACATTCGGTCAACTCAGGCTACCTGAGCAAATATTGAAGCAACGTAAATTGCGCGAAAAACAGAAACAACGTGCTCAGAAAAACAGGAATAATAACCAGTCACACAAAAAACGGAAACATTAAAGTATTTTAACTATACTAACTTTTGTACAGTTAATTTTTTTTATTGAGATAACGTATTTAAGGGATAAGAATTCTATTGTGAACAATATACACCTTGTTTATGCTATTTAAAAGTTAATGGTGAACTATTTTATTTAAACACTAGGGAATGAACTAGTTCTGGATTTAGCGATATAACCGTTGTAAAGTCCGTGACCGTATATTGTTGGGACCTGCTTTTGTTGTAGTGCGTTAGTTCTTTTGCAACATTGCAGTGAGAAGAGTCCATTCTCATAAACCTTAGTGATAAATCCCGTTTGATCGGGTAATTATTTCTAGAAGTAGCAGTTTGTACGAATAACAATGGTAAAATGGACATATTTTTCTTTCATTAGATAATATTCATGTACAGTATAACAGACAGTTCAACTACAGTTTACAGTCATTGCGCTGTCATCTGCTATTCACAAAACGTCGAATGCTTTTTTTCTCGCATAATGTTCAATCTCCTAGAAAAACTTTTAATAGTGAATTACTAGCGCCATTTTATATCGACACTTACTCAGTCATTAAGTAGTGGGTGTTTATTGTTGCTGCAACTAATTTTATAAACTTTGTTCAGCAATATCAGTGATTTCATACACATAGTTCCCTTTATTATCTTAAATAGAGCAAGAACAAAGATTGGTGCAGAATAATATGAATTCATTTTATTTCGTTAGGTTCTCATCAGCTGCTTACAACCTAAAATATTTGAAATTCAACGTTATTATAGATATTGACATACTTATACAACAGAGGGCGATGAAGGATGAATATATGTAACATAATGTGGTAAAGATTTCGTTAGAGTTAATGAGGTCATAAAATTTTGTTTCGAATATATAGAGTTTGGGAGGGAAGGTTCCAGAAAATTGAAATAGTGATTAGAAATCATGGAATTAAAACACATTAGACGATTATGTAATGAAGTAACTGAAAATAGATTAATGTTAATAAAGAGAGATATGAATTGAAATTGGTCAGTTATGAATGATGTAATTATAAAATTCAGAAAGAGTTGAAATGACGTAATAAAAATAAATAAAATAAAAGGGGTGGGGTGAATGTTACCAGGGCAAAGAAAGATTTATTACTGTTTCTTTTTGTATACAAAGATCTGGTTTTAAACGTTTGATTGCTATTGCTTCCGCGAATTTCAAAAGGTTTGAATTTGATTGTTTGTTGATCACCTTGAAGGACTTCAGTATATCGACTTCGTGTCCTGTGTCAAGGAGATGTCTTGCGACAGCGCTGCTAAATGCTTTTAGTCCGTTTGATCTCAAACTGTTCGGAATATGTTCTTTGAATCGGACGTAGGCTCTCCTTTCTGTTCTACCAATGTAACTGCTTTGGCAGATACATGTAAATTTGTATACACAGTTGGTGGTAACATGAAAGGGATACCTGTCGACCTTTGATTGTGTCAAAGAACATGTCGTTTTGGACAGGACAATCAATTTAGCTGCAGGATATGTTTTTGTCAGTGCAGTTTTTAGTCTCATATTGATTGACCCTGTGACATTATCGCCTTTGAACTTGAGTTGAATAAAAACAGGTTTTTTATTTACTGTAGTTTCTTTGGGTATTTTATCTTCACGTTTTCCATATTTCTCAATGAATTTCAATGGGTATCCGTTATTTCTTAAACACTTTTTAACATTCATAATTTCCTCTTCTATTGTATCGGCAGTACATATTCTTTCTGTTCTATGAAACAGTGTTTTGACAAGTGCCTTTTTATAATTGATTGGACAAAAGCTGTTGAAATTGAGATAAATACCATTCCATGTGTCTTTCTTATAAACTGAGCGTTGAACTGTGCCATCCTTTCTTCGTTTTATCGCTATATCGAGGAAATGGAACATGTTTTCTTTTTCATGTTCCATAGTGAAATGAATATTTGGATGAGCTTCATTGAAAAACTTTAACAGATTTGTTGCATGTTGTTGATTATTACATAAGATGAATGTATCATCAACATACCTCGAATAATACATCATTTCATCAATCGCTCCTTTGAGCTTGGTTCTTTCGAGGTTAGCCATGAAAATGTCTGCTAGGACGGGGCCTAACGGACTTCCCATTGCTACACCATCGGTTTGTCGGTATATAGTATTGTTGAACTGGAACTGAACATCTTTTGTACACAAGAGTAATAGTCGTTTGAATTCTATTGCTGGTAGAGGTAGGATATCAGGATGTTGACAAATTATGTGGTTATGGACAAAATATTGCCATCAAGAGTGATAACCTACGTAAAAATTTTCTGCATGATCAGCAATTCCCTACTTGATCTAGTCATTAATGATTTACTAAAAATCTCCACAAAACTCATTCTGATAATAATCAACTGCTCACTAGTGACTGACTTCAGGAGAACCTCCTGGAGTTCTAGTGAGGAGCCGTCACCAGTGGGGTTCAACCAGGTCTGTTGTGAGATATCAGCTTACTGAAGACATTGGTGTTCGGTGGCGCAACTTCGTGGATTGGTTGAAGTTAGACATTAACACCGTTGGATGCCGGCTCAGTGGTCTAATGGTTAAGTGCTCGCACACGAAACCAGTAGGTCCTGGGTCCCAATCTCACAGGGAGCGAGGTCGTGGATGCGCACTGCTGGGGAGTCCCATACTAGGACGAAACGGCCGTCCAGTGCTTCCAGGTTTTCAATGGTGGTCTAGCTTCAACTGACTCATGATTTCAACCTGTGAAACCAGTAGTAGTAAGTATTTTTGGAAAAAGAAAGTTTGGTGATAAATTTCTATGGTGATGTATTGAAACAAACAAGATATTACAACGAAATTTATATTGGCATATCTGATAATACACTGAATATGATTCCAATTTACGCTCAAATATCACTCCACTATAATTAATATCAAGTAGTCCATAGTACTTTTGTTACTATATGTAAACTGCTGAATTATCTTATGATGATTTGCTAGTCAAAAAACAAACAAACAAACATTATAAACAAATTAAGTATTTATTTCATTAAAATAATATTTATCACAGTGTTTCAGATGAAATTATGTATAAAAAATTAGTTTAAACGAATCCCATATAAATAGATACAATAAAAAATACAAGTTTCACTTTTGATCTTTTCCAATATGGTAGTCCAGAAATTCTTTCAGTTGCAAATAAATCGGTGGATATTCTCGTTGTTGTCTTAGTTGGACCTAATGAAAGGAAAATTATTAAATACAGTTTACTTTATCAAACATTGGGTTATAATACACATAAATCTATATGGTACAGGTCATCAATGTATTTAGGTCGTCATAGAAAGCTTTCTTAATTGCAAAAATCACTTAAAATTAATATGAACTTTTGGAAAGTGGTCTCTGTATCTGAACAAATATAGTTCTTTGCGATCGCAGTGGTAACCGGTGTTACGATGTAACGTTTAGGCTTTTTTTATCATGACGAACTAACCAAACTATGTTGAAATAAAGAGTAAAATGAGGAGTGGTGTTCAGATCAAAGTACGGGGCCGATCCGTTAAAATAACCAACAGACTGAAGTAAATAAAAATGTGCAAACTTCCTTGATGGGATCTGTTAATAATAATCTATGAAGATCAATTGCAATAGAACAAATAAATACATATCTGTAATTATGTAGTTTAGTACCATAGAATGCTTTTTATCTAGGAATTTAATTTGTTTCTTTGGCACTATGCGTCATACCATGTCTACTCTATTTCTTCACATTATTTTGAAGTGAATTGCGGTGACTTGATTCTGATAAATATTTGTAGTAGGTTCTGCGCTGTTTATTATCAAACAAATGAATTTTTTATACTGGTTATTTACTCGTATGACGGTTTCTTTCTATATGATAGTGACGATTCCTATAAACAATTAGTATTTACATTATAATACGGGTTTTTAATGATAAGATTTACAAAAATTCCACCAAGGATCCAATTGTCATAAGTTCTATTTTAAATTGGAGTTCTCAGATTACTTAAAGCAATGCAGCTTATTCTTATCGAATATTTCCCATGAAGATGACAATAAATACAGAAAACAGCACATATGAACTAATATTTAATTTAAGAATCCAATTTTAGAAAATCTAAAAAGATACATTTATAAAATTACCTCATGGACGTATGCTGAAAGACCATTGCGTAGAAAAACTAAACGTTCCGTATCATTTTTCCTTTTCACCAACCACGATACATAGTAATTTGTAGACCAACCTGCAACAATATGGGGATAACGAATTTCATCCGGTGCTCTGCTAAACATATGTTGACAAATCAAACTCGGCAGTAGATGATTTGACGAAGAACCAACTGAATCCTCTTTTGCATAAGTCTGAGAAAAAATTACATATATAGTGTGAATATATTATTCCATACTATTTAGAATCGGGGAAAATATGGAAATGCATTCTATATAATACGACTTAATAAAAGCAGATATATTCGCACAAATAAAATATAGTCATGTCAATGTTAATTATTATAGAGTGGTTGCACAGACAATGGTTATAACATCTGGACTTCAATCAGAAAGTTTTAGATCTGAATTGTACTTCGCCTAACTTGGTTTGGCTCGGTAGTATCATCAACTTTTCAGGCATAGTGTTACCTCAAAGCCAATTATATAAATGTTCGTACTTGGTAGATGAGTTGTATGATCAAAATTAGATTAGTTTTACAAGATTTACAATTGTTCAGGTCTCGAAACATATGATCAACATAACATAGTGATTACAAGTTATTTGTTCGGTATATATTGAAATACTAAGGTTTAGTAAATATAATTTAGACTAATGATAATTTACGTGAGATCTATGTAATCCAAATGTTTCATCGCATAGTTTGTTGCTTGCTAACAGTATGCTGACTGATCAGAAGCTTGCTAAATTTTAATATTTATCTGGACTTAATTAATATATATGTATATATTCTGAGAAACCACGACAGTTATGTGACTAAAGTCGACCTCTTAAGCGTTTATTTACGTGAAAATAGCAATTATATTTATCAGTATATTATCAATTATAGCCATTAGAGTCAACAATCCTGTTGAGTCGGCTTTCGAAGAACTTCAACGGAGCCTCCAGAGGCCCAAAAGGAGCCGAAGAGTCCTAGCTAATCAGAGCACGATGGAGCATCCTAGAATTCCAACGTGGCGTGCTACTATTGGTCAGTAGCATAATATTTCGTTAACGGATTGGCGGAAATATGATGTTGATTTAACAAACGCTAACATCTATAAATACCCATGTTTTCTGTACATAAACGAACCTTGGAGTAAAGTATTCCTCTCATACTTTGCGTCTTCTCTCTGGTGTTCGGGTCGCTGTGTAGTTCTAGCTTGCGGGTTTCCAGAATAACTTAGGAAACGAATATAGAGTTCAATTCGCAAGACTTAACAAATCCACTATTTATTAATAATATAAATGAATATTGTACGTACAAATTTATAGTTCTATTTCACCAGGAATTTATGTCTATCTCCTTTACAAATGAAAAAAGCTGGTTACCTTTTCCATATACCTAACCAGTTTAAAGTAGTTAGTAAGATAATCCTGTAATTATCATGTCGAATAGAACACAAATAATACTCGAACAATTTAGTAAATTCGATTAAACTTAATAACAGGCAACCGAATACATAAAACACACAACAAAGCGTACCTGAACTAGCTGTTCATTTTCCATAGATAGGATAGAAGGAAAATCTCTTAATTGTTCATAAGATTCTGGGATTAGTTTACTTAATGTATATCCATAATTTGGAGAGCATAATGGCATTAAAGCTAATTCAAAATCTTTATAATCAGCGGCTAGTTTAAGACGTATTGATTCTTTTGAAGAACGAATTAATGTTGATCGCCAAAGATAACTGTTGACACACATAGTAAGAATTGGTTTTAAAGCATCTTGCAATGCGAATTCACCGCAAACATAACATCCTGATTGTGTGAATATATTAGGTATTGTATTAACAAATTTTGGAGGTTGTGATAGATCAGATAAATATTGTTGACGAACTCTAGCAGTAAAGTTCTGCCAAAAAAGTTATGAAAACCAATAAATCAGTAGAGTTTACATATCAATGAAAAATATTCAATATATTTGAGGATCATTGACGAATATGAAATGAAACTTTTATTGGTTTAATTGTACTTAGATTTCTACATATATGTAAACTTATTAATTGTGTAATACAAAGTTTATTTTATGTTACAAAAATCACGGAGGTAAAAACCAACTGCAAGATTTTATGCCATGGAATCATAAAAGCAATAACTAAGTGAAGTATGGTTAATTAAGTGTGCAATTAACATGCACTACAATAATATGCACAACAAGGATGTAAAATATTTCAATTATACTCACTAATTATTTATTTAAAAAGTTAATTAAATATACATACGTAGAAATAATGTCATCGATAAAGCTAATTTGATAGATGACAAAATGGTTGACTTGTTTGAATTAAAAACAACAGGTAAAAAAACTTTAAATACAAATTAATAAAGGTAGACAGATTTCAAGATAGTGTTAGTAATATAAACGAAATTAGTTTAAGTAGTACTTATTAGGTTTGGAGATTTTTAAATGTACATTTACCTTTCATTATACATTGTGATATGTGGTCTTAGGTACGGGTGTTTAATGGTTCTATACTGTGAGGAAACATATATAAGGAGCCCTTTAGGTTTTCAATAATTCTTCACCCAGCATTATTTCGTAGTCAATTAATTTTTTGAACTATCTTTCAGCTGTTAGCAGGGTTTTGGAATTTTCTGTTGTCGATATTCAGGACTACAACTGATCAGTCTCTGTTGCGATATGTGCACAGCGGATTTACGCAAAGTAGTGTTACGTTGAGTGTGTGAAGAGGAAGGTACTAGGTTTGCCTCGGTGTGGACATCTAGTTGGTGGGTCCCCAAAAGAACGAAACGCGAGACATTGATTCGAACTCCAGGCACGTTACTAAATATACGAGAAATATCTTTCAGTTCCTTTACGCGATTTGCATACAAATACTCTTTTATCAAGGAATACACTTCATAGGGGAAATTTATTTGGTTTTATATAAACACTACCTACTTGCAGCTAATATTTGGCAGATGGAAATAAAATTGACGGACAATCAATATAAAAGAACAGTAGTAATTAATCGTGATAGAAATAGACCAAATTTATTTTACAACGTTATTCATTTCGCCAATTTACGAAATCTAGACTTAGGTAACCTTAAAAAGTTAATTTTTCAATATAGGACGACAAATATTAGTTTTAGCCCATCAATAAGATGTATTTATAATCTTGTGGGAACTGATACTCTCTGTGATATTCGAAACCACATCATCCACTTTCCTACGAACTACCTCAGACAACGTGAAAATCAAAACATAGTGCACATGATGTCAAGTCACTTAGACTAGTGATCACATTGTAATGTGATCGCTAGAATTCGAACGACATTGAATGATTAGCCAAACATGACATTTTGTTACTAATCAATGATCAAACAAAGTAATTTTGACTTTCAAACAACATTCAATGTGACTGATAATTTGATGTTACTATTCCACCGTAGCGGCTAACACTGGAGTACAAAATATTTTATTTGTATTTAGAACTCATTCACTGCATTCCAATAAATGTATATGTTCACACTAACTAGAATCCAATACATAAATTGTTTCAGACAGCACGACACTATTTGTCTGGACATCAGTTTATGACAGCAGTCTAAATTTTTCAACTTTTCTGTTATTAGTGTGTTTCGTTACATTGAATCGCTTAATTGTCAAGTATTGTTTATCATGAAGAACTATATGGACATAATGGAAAGATCAATATTTACAAGAAATATTATGAATTTCCTTAAAAATGAAAATAACTAACCTGTAAATCTTGTAGATACTTCGATTTACTGCTCAGTTCATTAACTGATACATTTTGATATGAATCATATTCACTATGCATTGAACTTAAAATTTCATCTATTTTATTACCAATAGCTAGAAGAAATGGATTTAAAATGGAATTGCACAAATTATTCAAATGATTTTTTGTTGATTCCGAGATTAACTGAAGTGGATTTTTGATTGGTGTCATTGTTTCAATTGTGGTAATCAGTGCGAAGGTTTCATTTAAAAATGTAGATGATTTATTATAATTTTTATGATTAATGTTAGATGTTGTTATTGTATTCAGATTGTTCAATCGTTTATTAACAGTTAATTGTAAATTTGTTCCAAACTGACAGAGAAGGTTGACTAAATGTATATTATTCTGTTGTCCAAGTGTTTGTGAATCTGTCAATTGTACCGCACAAGTACTGCCCGTAGAAATTAAAGTTTCAGTTTTAGTTGCAAATAAAGCAATCAATTTATCTAAGTTGCGAGTAACCTAAGTTTATGAAAAGGAAGTTAGGTAACAGAAAGAAAAAGCGGTAATTTATATGTTTATCTGATGATTACATATTTAGTATTAAGTAGACAAATTCATTGTTCAATGTGAACTATTTAATTTGACCTGATGATTAGTAGAGTCTATCAGTGTTACACACACGATCGTTTTTGTAGATAATATGGTAATAATTGTAATGTAAGCAATATAAACACTTGATTTTGGCAAGCAATAAAACCTATAATGAATGCTTCGCATTTTCAGGGATCTAGAGTATAAGTGTCTGCGTTATAACGACGGTTTTTAGAGAAGACTAAATCTTAATAACGGAATTATCAAACAACTTTTGTGTAGAGATCGTTTCGTGAATTCATTTATCATTTTGTACGAGAAAATACTCATATGTTTACTATTAATTCAAGCACATAGAAACAGTGTAACATCTGAAATACAGTTTGCATCAGTTAAAATTGCTATACTTCATAACAGTACAGTGATATGGTCAAGAAGAAAATTACAAAATGTTCCTAACTTGAGAATATCATAGATAATTAAAAATAAATTTAAAAATGTATTATTGTCAAGAGTTATTTCAGCAACCAAGACTAGATAGACAAGTATACCAGCGTAGGATCTCTACACACAATAAGTTGTTGTAACTCAGTCGGTAATTAATCAATCGTTCTATACACACTTTTCATTGACTTAATCAAGGATAAGACTGTGTCAATGAACAATTAATGTCTCTCAGGAAACAGCAGAAGCCAGATCTAGAGAGTTAACTATTAAGAGCCCTAAATAATTCGATTGAGAAGTAGGAATATTTGAAAAATAATACTAATTTGTTAAATAAAACTAACTCAAACAGATTAATTGAGTACGACAATAAACCACTTATCTAAAGAAGTGTTTCGTTATTAGCGGTTAGTTTTAAGATTAACTGCCCAAAATTCTAGTGAGAAGCTTTGAATTCTGGAGTCAAGTAAGCATCAATCGAATGATTTAAGGATTGTGATCCATCGTGAATTAAGGTTAGAAGGGTGGACTATTGGATTATAACCTAGTTGGTCAATAGAAACTATGTTCTTCAAAAGCTCGAAAACCAGTATATGTATGATACTCCGTTGAGCCTTAAATGGGCAATAATATCTTACATTAGGCTAAAATTGATTTATGGCAGTTTCCAGTTATTTCGGCTGAGATTAGTTCAGAAAGAAAACTAACTACGAAATAAACATAAGTATTCACCTTAATTTCAAATTAAAAAAAGCCACTCACCTTATATAAGAGGTCATGATGAACAGTAGCATATGCTAATTCATTTGCAGCTGTTTGTATGATATCGTTTAATTCATTTGTATCTGGTCCAGCTGTTGTAGATGTTGAAAAAGCCAAAGTTACCCTATCAAATAGACGTGATACACTACGAGATAAATAAGCTGTTTCAAATGGATGCAGTGCTCGAACTAAACATGAAGGTAGCTGTTCCAATATAGTTTGTTGATGAATAGGTGATAAGGTATATTGATCATAATTACTATTATTAAATAATTCATTCGAAAGGGTACTGGTTACACGACGTTCCAAATCTAATATTAATTTTAATAATTTCGGATATTCTCCTTCAAGCACCTCTTTAATTACTGGTGATTGATTGGAAACAGCAGAAAGTTTAGTGGCCAGTTGATCTGATGCCCAACCAAGGAATCCTTCATTTGAAATCAGTGCATTACGAATATCTGCACGATTATCATTAATTTGTTTGTGACCAATTGAATTATCGATAGCAGAGGATGAGTCGATGTTATCTTCTATGATTAAAAAAACGTGCGAAAATATTGTTAATCGTAATACTGTACGAAATTTTTACGAACACATACGGTTAAAATTTTTTAGTACATTTAAACATTAATAGAAAAAGGAATTAACTAACGAATTTTTAGCAAACAGATTGCACCGTCATAGTTTTGCCACAAACTGTTGTCACTAGAATAAACGAGAAATATCACACAGTAGTGTACAGCTATTTCGTTCTTAAAGATTTAGATGCAGAAAACACTAATGATATTATTTTAAATCTCAAGCTTCATAAAAAGTGTTTAGGCATTTCGCATCAATCAAACAGCTGGTGATTTCAAATATACACAGCTAGTTACAAAGCTTAGTGATCGCAAACCACATAGCTGATCCCTAAATCAGTCGCACAGTAAAACGCAATACAAAATCTGGTATGTATGTATATCGGTTCAAGTTACCATAATCTATTAACACAGACCTTAGAGTAGTAGAGGTAGTAACAGTATAAATGCTGATTGGAGAGATTATGGATCGGAGATACGATTCAAGAAAATATAAATTAGTTAAATTTTGAAAAAAATTATAAGGAATTCAGAAACTTAGAATCTGGGTGAAGAAAAAGGGTGAATGTACCCGTGCCATCGAAAACGACTTTGAGCTACGTCATTCAAAGTCTCTAATCACTGGATATGATAATCCCCCGTACCCCAATTAGGTATTCTACATCTGTTAACATGGTTCAGTCCGATTGTCGATGACTTCATGGACTGATACCATATTTTGGTTTGGCTGGCTCTAATTTTCTTCCAACCTACTCATGCACCAGAACACCACCCGTCGATGTAGGCAGTGGCTGGGCATACGTAACACATGCACCAACAAACTGAGTTGATGAAGATTTATTATCCCTAAAGTGTAAATGGAGATTATACTGTGTTATGAGCACTTGACTTCCAAACAATGGGTTTTACGATTACGGTTTGAGGAGTTGGATAGCGTGCATAGCTCCTAAACAATACATACAAGAGCCTGTAATTTGTTGTTTAATCACATTAAAGTCGATATTTCATTAAATTATTTGACCAGCAATATGAATGTTAATAAGTGTAAGCTTAAAACTCGAGAGATATCATTCATATTGACTATTAAAAAGTCCCATTACATATCAGAACATATATCTAACACAATCATTGACTTCTTACAATTATTGGATGAGAATTACTACTAAAAAGCTTAGAAAATCATATTGATCAATAACTCCCCGAGTAAAAAAAAAACAATGTCACAAACTGCATATTTTGATATTTCATGGAATTTATTGATTGTTTGTACATTAAATCAGCTTAGCAAAACCATGAGTAAATGTTCTAATCTCAATATAGATGTTTGACTTACCATTATTTAAAACAATCGTTATATAATTATCCTGTTGATTTCATGAACTTTTGAGTAAAACATCTAATTAGAGAAACAATCCAACCTAATTACCTTAAGAGATTCGGGTATTTAAATTTCATTTATTGTTTTAATGATAATTTACGATTTCTATTATGAATTATAATTAGTTTAATAATAAACTTCAGCAAATGGTTGTATATATGTAACAAAGTAAATTCATTATATTATTACTAAATGTCAAAGAGTTAATCTCAAATATGATACTTAAAGATTCTATTAAAAGAAATAATAAATGATTAATGAAATTTTCAAAGTGATAATACAAACCTTGACGAGTTAAAGATTCTTTAAAATTGGCTGAAGCAAAAATTAACAAAATTGAAGAATATTTTTCAGAATTTTTATTATTTTGCCAGTCGATAAGCATTTCATGTATAAGTAATTCAGCTAGACTAGGATATAATTCAGAAATATATTGGTCTAAACGACATATACTTGTCATACATACATCAATATGTGTTTCACGTTGTTTCATTAAAGTTAGACCAAGTAGACGACTACAAGAAATAAGTTGTTCCATTTTATCAATAGTTCCATCTAAACTAGTCCATACAGCAACATGAAAAGCAGCTGCTTGACCACCAACTGCTGATAATGAGGCTCTGCCTGTAAAAAGAATACAACAGAAAATGATATACTGTAGGTTAATTAATACAAAAAAAAAACACGCGATGTTACCTAGATTGTAATTTGTACTAAACACATTTGTCAATGACATTCAGTCAATCAAATGTACATAAATGATCTTATTAAGTATGATCCAAACTAGAGACTGATGAATCCGATTATGTTACTCTCCACTCATTAACCAATCACAGCAGAACTCAGATGAATTCATCAAACACATATACTATAAATTATAATTTTATATTTTTATATCACTTACTCCAAACTATATACCTTGAATATTATTAAACATTTCCTCCTCCTACTTCATGTTCTGATGTATTTTATTTATTTCATTTTACATTAAAAACTATGTCGATCTTTTTACTTAATTAGTCTTGGTTTCTATGGTAAAGGTGGTCGTTGGATAAGCCTTATTAGTAAACTTGACTACTCTACTGTTTAAGAATAAGTCTTTAAGGAAAATCCTTGCTTTGTAAAATTCACATTTACTAGTGTATATCAGAATAAATGAATGTATTTTATGGATTTAAGAATAATTATACTGAATTAAAAAATAAAAATAAAATTCTATCATATACCAGATATGTTGATAAATTCAGGGGCCAGAATAAAATGATTGTATTCTAATACATTTTAAAGAGGACCTAAAATTTACCTGGACCAGAACCACCTTGCTGAATTTTTTGACGTGTTCGCATACGTTGAGTTAATGAATCTATATCAACGGAAGAGGATAGTACAGAAACAAATTCTGATTTCCATTTAGTCACCAGTTCATGAACTACATCCATTAACATATTTAAATGGTAGAAAACCTAAATGACAGTACAAAGTTTTATAGAAAAGACGGTAAACGTTAAATATAATAAATATGAATGAACAGTTTAGTCATAGAATACGGAAAAGAGTTATTATGTTAGCTCAAGAATCAACTCGACGACATCAAATGTTGGTTTGTGATGAAATTCGAACTATAGAAAACTCCTGAAAAAATCATTTGACTTAATAATAATCATGTAGTCAACACTAGTGATGAACTTATTTAGATTCTAGTGAGAGGACGTCATCTATGACATCAACCAAGTATTCATGTATGTGACAATAATTTATCGATGATAGTTGAATTAGTTTTAATGAACCCATCCACTAGCTACTTGGGTAAGGAACCACACTTTAGGTTTGAGGGCTAACGATACAAGCTAATCGCCTAAACCAAGACAAGAGAGGGTTTTGGACCTGAAACTTGGTGGGAGAAAGTCGAGTCTGTTAATCACTAAGCTACCGCTTTACCATTGACGATAATGGATGTAGAAGGTCGAACTATATTTTCGACTGATTAAAGTCAGAAATATGAACCATCAAATTCCAACTTTACGCTTAAATGGTATTATGGAAGATGGGACAAAACATCACCGTCCTCGCTAGAATTTTCTATGTTTTACGGCATTAAAGGATCTCAAATTAAAGCATAAAACGTGTATTCCGTACTCAATTTTCCTGAATGGCTCTTCAGATAATCTCGATGCTCGTGGATAAAAATTCTCTTTAAACTGTCCAAACACAATACGAATTTTTTATTCTAAATGCTTGTGAGTAATTACCTTTCCAAACACATTGAAAACAAATCAGTGCTTTTCAATCGCAACAAGCTTTGCGTAACTAATGTTCCTCTTGAAACTAGTGTTTTTCGGAAACATAATATATGGATATATACATATATATCTTTTGCGTAAAGTCACTTTTTTGACGGACAAATTGTCATATACTTCCCAAGTTATACTTTACCTAACTTAATTACGCCTGTTAACATTCACAGAGTAGCATAGGCAGCTCACCAACATTCTACATCGAAACTTGACGTGGTCAATCCTTTCCAGTTGTTTACAGTTTCTATTCATCCTTTTCATGTCTGCTTCCAATTCCCGATGCAATGTGTTCTTCGGTCTTCCACGTTTCCGTTTCCCTTCAGGATCCAAAGTTCGCACTTACCTCGTGATGCAGTTTGGTGATTTCCGTAATGTATGTCCTATCCACCCCCACCGTCTTTTCTTAATATCATCTTCAGATGGAAGCTGGTTTGTTCTTTCCCACAGTAGGTTGTCGCTAATGGCATCCGGGCGACGGACATTCATTATCTTACTTAGACAATTGTTTATAAATACTTGTAACTTTACGATGATGATTGCAGTAGTTCTCCAAGTTTCAGCTCCGTACAACATAACTAACTGCCTTGACATTCGTATTGAAGATTTTAACTTTGACGTTAGTTGACAGTTGTTTTGAGTTTCATATGCAATCCAACTATAGGAATGCTGTCCTTGTCTTGTCAATCCTTACTTTTGTCTTTGCATAAGAACCTCCTTATTCATCGATGATGCTGTCGACGTATGTGGAAGTTTCCACATCTTTCAGAGCTTCTCCATCAAGTGCGATTGCGTTGATGTTCTCTGTGCTGCATTTCAGAATCTTGGTTTATCACTTGTGTATGTTGACGCCTACTGATGCAGAGGCTTCTGTTACACTGGCTATCTTCATCAGCATTTGTTGGTATGGATCGGATAGATGAGCTAGGTTATCTGCGAAGTCCAAATCGTCTAGTCGCATCCAAACTGTCCATTATATTGCATACTGCCCCTCAGATGTGGAGGTCCTCGTAATTCAGTCAACCACGAGAAGAAATATAAAGGGTGACAGTAGGCAGCCTTGTCTGACACCGGTCCTCACTCGGAGTACATCCGGAAGCTGACCTCCATGCACGACTTTGCAGTGTAGTCAGTCGTATGAGTTCCAGATGATATTGACGATCTTCTCAGGTACACTGTAGTGTTGAAGGAGGTCCCGTAAGGTCCTCCTATTCACATTGTCAAACGTCTTCCCACAGACAAGGAAGTTAGTGTACAGTGACGAATTCCATTCAATTGATTGTTCAACGATAATGCATAGTGTTGCTATTTGGTCTTTTCACGACCGATCCTTACGGCATCCAGCCTGCTGATCTGGAAGTTTGGCGTCTATTGAATCTTTCATCTGGTTCAGCAACACTCTGTTGAAAACGTTTCCCGTTGCCGATAGTAGTTTGATGCCTGTGTAGTTCTCACACATTTTTAAGGTCTCTTTTCTTTGGTATCTTGATGAGATATCCTTCTTTGCAGTCTGTTAGCGGCACTTGTTCCTCCTCACAAATCTTCATGAATAGAAAGTGGAGCATGATTGCAGTTACTTTTATGTCTGATTTCCCACTCTTGATCAGTTTGATGGCTATCCTGATTTTTGCGATCGTTGGTGGAGTGACAGCTATGGGAAGATCTGCAGGTGCTACTTTGATGTTTGGTGGATTCAATGGAGTTGGTCTATTCGATGGTTCTTCAAAGTGTTCCACCCATCTGTTCCTCTGTCTTTGAATCTCGGTGATTCGCTAGCCTTCTTTGTCCTTGACCGGTATCTCTGATTTACTATATTTTCTAACCAGTTGCTTTGTCGTTTCATATATTTGTCTCGTATATTCATTCTCTTGCAGCTTTTTCCGATGTCATTGTTAGGTCTTCCATGTATTTCTGCTTGTTGGCTCTAATGCAATTCTTTACTTGCTTGTTTGCTTCAGTATACTTAGCTTATGCCTTGGCTTGCTCTGTTCTTGTTCGGTTGTTGTTAATTGTAGTTTTCTTGTTCTTTCTTTCTTTCTTTCTTGAATCTTGTGCAGTGTTTCAATGGAGACCTATTCCCTATGATGATGCTTCCTGCGACCCAGGACCTCCTGACATTTTGAAATTATTGCTTCGTTGATCCCTTTCCATTTGTCCCCCATATTAGTTTCTTCTTCTTTGAGTAGATCTTGTAAGGCTTGCAACCTGTTGTTGAGAGCTATCTTGAATTCGTTGAGTTAGTCAGTATGTCGAGGGAAGGCTGCATTGAACGTTTGCAAAGCTGTTTGTCTAGTTGTCCAATGCTTGTTTAGCTTTAGTTTCATCTTGGCAACCACCAGGTGGTAATGTAAAGCTATGTCAGCTCCTCTCCTAGTTTTCACGTCTTCCACTGACCTTCTGAATTTTTAGTGATACATATATGATCGATCTAGCCCTGTGTAGTGTGATTCGGTGAGATACATGTAGTTTTGCGTGGGAATATTGTGCCACCTATAACCATTTTGTTGAACGCACATAAGTTTGTGAATATCTCACCATTCTCATTCCTTTCTCCTAGTCCATATCGTCTCATGATAGCTTCGTACCCGGTGTAGTCCGTTCCGACCTTGGCGTTTAGGTCAAGTCCTTTCCTTGGTACTTTTCTACTTAAAGTTTATTCTTAAAAAATAGTCATTTAGGCAATTAAGTATACATATTTGTTCTCTAGATCCTAGTAAATAATATTTTCTCATAACAAAATACGATTTTTTTTCGAAAAGCAAAATATAAAAAGTTTAGATAAGTTAAACAGAAACCAATAGTTATGCTGTATACATTGTAAGTAAGAACTATAGCCTGTAAAGCTTATCACAGAATATTTCAAAATGGAACTGAACTGAAGCTATAATGTGACTTCAACTTGAAAATAAAACCATAGTAAATCAGTGGACAATACGAAGCAGACAATATATTTAAATCAACAGTCTTATCATGATGATTGAAATACAAAGTTCTGTAGAGAAACGTAAACCGGTTTTTCGTAAACAAAATGGTTTTTGGAATCCTTTGAGCTTATCTGCATACGAATAACGAACTAGTGGTTGAGTCAATGACATATTACCACATGTCATGAAATAGGTTTATCCATGGAGGAAAGCGAGATAATAGTGAAACTATTAGCACAATGAATTATTTATTTACTAAAAACCAACACTGTTACTAATAAGGATATCCTGCTTCGGTCTGGGCACCCGAGAAATATCACAGCCCACACACAAATCAAGTGACTTGTGTGGCGCATATGTATTCGGTGCCTCTTTGTACCAATATTTGTGTTCAAATAAAATAAATAAATAAAATAAGGATATACCAAATCGTTTAACTATGGATAACTGTTGTAACTCTACAGAAAGTGTTAAAGTATGGAAGTAAAAATCATTTTTGGTCAAAAATAAGATAAAGACCCTCTAACTCACCATATAGAATATAATCTAAAATGCAAGATACTGCAAAATAATGTCTACCAACACAGACAACACCATTTTTATTGAGATCTGATGTGAACATTGTGTTGTAAGCTACAAAACACTACAGAATTTGACCTGTTGGACTGACCCAATACCAAGTGTGGCTATGCTGTTGTATTTAACCAATATTTAACTTGCATACTAATATTTTATATTTACTTAAAAAGGTTAATATAATAAGGAGGAACAAAAAAGAAACAATTTACCTGTAGTCCTGTGGCTAATTGAGTTTGATCAGATAACTCATAAGATGAATTGATTAGGCTCCATGCTTGTGACACCATACTCTCTCGAACTTGAACTAATGCACGATTATAGGACTCCAATACATGGATTCCTTCCCATTCCATATTATTAAAGATGAAGTTTAACTCATTTACATACATTGCACATTGACATAAATCTTTAGACCTACCTATTTAAGGATAATAGTGATAATAATGATGTTATACGAAGAGCAAAATACTCACTTTGGATTCGTTTCATTAGTGTTGCTACTCGAGATATGTTACGAAGAAAAGCACATGTAATGTGTAGATTTTTGAAATGAGTTACATTTGTGGATAATGTTTCATGGGGAGTATCTATTTTCTTTTTAACTTTCGATAAAGAAATTGACAAGTTTCGTATTTTATCTTCAACTGCCTGCAAAACATTTTGCAAATTATCAATGTCAGAGGCTCTTTTAAACAGGTCGACGTGATTATCAGCAACATGCTGATGAATCAGAGTGGCTAACCTGTGAATGATAGAGAAATAACATAACGCCTACAGCAGTTCAAAAAAGTCACAATATTTGTTTAGGAAAGAAAAAGAATGAGCATACTTCTTACCACAATGGTAAAAATGAAGCAATTTAATTTCACAAATAGTGGTCGCATCTACATACCAACCTTTATATTCAAACAGGCTTTACACATTCGAAGTATCATAAATGAAGTGATATGAATAAAATGAAAATTTGTGAGTTTTGAAATAGATTATCGAGACAATAATTTTCTGAAAAAAACGAAATAGATAAGAATGCCGTATTAAAGAAGCATCCAGGATTCAAGAACAATTACTCGTGACGGACGACTTCAAAAGTATAGTATAGTATGAAGATCCCAAAAGTCCTATTTCAATTATTTTAACCTGGTGGAATTGACGTGTTCAGCAAATGTTAGTACTATTAAAGCGCGAAATTCTAATTTCCTATTAAATAAAATGAATATCAGGGAACCTCAAAACTTAGTTCTGTACTTACTGACAATTAAAATTCACAACTTTTGAAATGAGACTATCTTAGGAAAAGCGTTTGTCAGCACTACTGGAAGAGTATTAGCTTACAAACGTTTCGATTCTTATTGGGTCAGAACAGTGGCATCACAGAACTGGAAACCACTTAATTTTAATAATTTCTATTCAAAGTTCCTGTTTTAGGTTTAAAAGAAAGGAAGAATTCTAAAAAATAATCGGTTTAACAGTTTCATTGTTTTTACTCGATCTAGGCACACTGAAAGATCATTGAATCCAGATTACATTACAAATGCGGCGGTCCTTTAACAACAGTTACGCATGAATTCCAGATATGATGTGATTTAATGGAGAAAATCCTCTACTTACTAACTGTCACAACCATTTTAGAGCAGTTTAGAAGATATGAGTCAAACTAAAAATATAACAGAATACTGGAGTATGTTATGTGCAGGATTTGGATTTTATTGTACACACAAAACTTAAGAACACAAATGTACTAGGCTGAAACGTTTTATTTTTAATTAGTGCCACCACAATCAAGACGAAATTTTAGAAGTTACTTGAGACTTATTAAGACCGAACAAGGCTTTTAGTTCAGATGATAAAGCTAATTCAAAGATTTTAATTATACTGTTAGATTTTGCGATCAACTATTTCACAGAAAATGCAAATATTTACGTTAAAGCGTGTTTTCGAAGAGATCCAAAATCATATTTGATTGGTTGCCTTAGTCGTTAAAACGTTGGATGGTATTTTCTATAGCTCAGAAAATATGATGATATGGTTGCACTAACTACACAATTAGTTGATGCAAGAATTTATCGGCATCTTTCAAGGATATGTTGATATAGTCTCCTAGACCAATGAGCATGATCTGAATATTTCTGAACAAAATATTAAATTTACCTTCGCTATAATTAACCAAGTAGTTTTTTTCATTTCCGAAAGTTTTATGAAGAATAGACATAATACATTCTCAGTTACATACAACTAAATAATTTATTATGTGTCTACTTACTCTCTTATTCGGTTATCTATTGTGCATAAAACATTTGAAACTTTATTAGTACCAACAATATAAGAGACGAACAATCTAGCATCGAAGTCAGCATTAGAGAAGTTTTCCAAGTTTTCATCCATCGGTTTTCAAATGCTTATTATCTGGAAGGCAAATAAGTGTTAGTTAAGAAATGAGAAGACAGATGCTATGAAGTTTCTGGTGGTTTGATTTTGTGAACTAGTACAGTGTGTAAAACAGTACATTTAGCCCCATAATATGAAGTAATTTGAATACAGATTATCCAATGTGACATTTTAAATGTATAAATACGATACCCTGACTTGACGTAAGATCAACATAAGAACGCATTCTAAATAAATATGGAGCGCAGACATTCAAACACTTGATGAATTAGTCCCAAATCTAACATCGGGGTTGGAAAGTTCATGTAATCGTTTGTGGATGGATAGGTCTCAATTTTATTCGTCAAATTTTAATACTTTACTTCAGTTGCTCAGCCACTACGTAGAACCCGTACGTATGTACATCGGTTCAAGTTGCCATACCCCATAAGCACAGAGAAATGGGTTTTTGGGCCAAATCCCAGAACGGTAGGCGTAGCAACTGGGTCAGTATAAATAATAAAAATTAGGCCCCTACGATAGGACTAGAAAAGAAGTCTTTTTCTTTACATCGTAGTCGTTTTTAAGAGATCCCACTGGTGCTGCTTCTGTACTTGTTGTAGTAAGTTTAACTGGGTCTTCTCCGAATTTCGCTAAGATCTTCGTCTTGGCCATTTTTGTCAGTTTACATTGTTCAATAATCGGCTAAATTTCGCGATGTTTCTGTCAGGAGTGAAAATAACTGGAAGTTTAAAAATGAGTTAATAGTGATGAAAAATTTCGACATTTAACTAAGTACCATTTCAAAAGCTTTGCCACAGTAATGTTTATGAACACATTTTCACCTTCATGAAATGATAAAAAGCGTCTTTATGGAAGGCATACCCAAGAGGTATGGTTGTTTTACGTCCAAGTATCGAGTTTTGAGTGATTGAAGGAGCAGAGTTACGGTAAAAAAAATGAAGATTTAGTTACATAAATGCCTCGTGAAAGTCCACTTCAATGACTTACGGTCAACTCCATCACGCATCACAGTACAACAGTGGCTATGGATTAATTTATCAATATTATTATCTGCAGGGGTCAGATATTCAGAGCGATTTCAATTAACTTAAACTGTATGGACAAATTAGTGGCAAGCACGTACGAATCAGCATACTTGTTGCATTAAAGATTTCAATTACCCATAAGATGGAGGCTTTTGTAGTGTCAATGATACAAATTCGATTAGATACAGTACTACTACAACAGTTTTAATTGAGAAAATAATCACAGAATGCATGTCTTACATTCCACTACGGTCCATGTGTTTGGCATTTATAAAGTGACTACGGTGAGTGTAGACAATGCTAGATAACAAATGATTAATTTTCATTACGAAAAAAATGAATCTCGCTGTATTGGATTATTTGAAGTGCAGAAAACCATTTCGTAGGGCGGACATGATTAGGAACTCTACAAGCGTAGTGGCACAACGGGGAAGGATAAAGCACTAGTACCAGCAATCTGTAGCAAAACAGTTCGAGTTACCATGTCACCTTCCCAAGTAACTCTGGTATTTTCATATTGAAGACTTCTGCAAAACTAAAGATTAACTCCGAGCGCTTCAATTTCATTTTGGATGCGAAATATCCATATTCTGACCACAGAGAATTTAAGTGACGTCAGTAAATGAAAATAGATCCCCAACTACCTTCAAAACTACACCTTTTAAAAAAGCTAGTTTTCGAGCGTTCCATAAAATTTGGGCTGTGTGAACTGTACTATAACAACTTCGACATGGAAATGATACAGAGATTATCAAACATTAACAAATTCAAAATCGACACGCATTACCAAAGCACAACCTTGAGGCTTTGAAGTATGCACTGTTGTGACACTTGTCCGATGCCCAATATTTTGTAAACATCATCCGTTAAGGTGTTGTTCTTTGCTTTGATACAGTTTATTAATCTAAGCCCAGATAATTAGTTTTATTTTTACTTACGAATGTGGCCGCGATTTGCTGGAGTAATGAGTTAAAACTTTAGTGGCAATTTGTTTTTATAATTGTTAGCGACTATGCTAGATTATTTGGGATAAAATAATTACTAAACATGACTAAAAGTGAAGGAGGCCCAGAAGCAAGAAAGAGATGTTCAGGCTCAACCCACTGCATGTTAATCACAGTTAAATGAATAAGAATGTCTAAGTGGTTAAATTGTTTCTTTTACCAAGGCCGGTGGAATTTAGTGCTGACGCCTTAACAGTAATAAGGTTAGTTTTAAGCCTTTCACTTACTATGGCCTCCTTTAATTCTTACAAGACGAAAAAGGACTGTTCATTAACTGATCCTGACGTTTCCACCTTGTCATTAGTAGGTTCCGTATCTGGCTGACGCCATGCTGTAGATTTATAAACTCCATTTTGTTCTGAAAAGCATAAAATCATGAAACTGTTCCCAGTTCAAAGATATAATGTCCCACCTTTTCGGTTTTCCGATTTCCACACTTTAAGCTCACGTTTAAGATGATGTACCTAGGGTTGAAATGTGGAGCTATACCCAAATAACTCAGTCAAGGTTTCACGTTGTGAATTCTGCGTAGGTGATCATGAGGCGACAGATTGTCCAAGGTTAGCAAAAATGAATGTAAGAGAAAGGAGGCAGGAGGTAAGAAAACGTGGTCTATGTTACTTATGTTTAAGGAAAGGTCACATAGCTATGACATGCAACTCAGGCATCAAGTGCGACGTTGAGAATTGCAAGGTTAGGCATAATTCATTATTGCATATTGATAGTATTGATAACCATGTGGTGAACCTAGCTAAGGATTGGAACTCCTCAAAGGTTTGTTTGGGGATCGTTCCAGTCAGACTATACGGTCCCAAAGGATGTTTGGAAACATATGCACTTCTAGATAGTGGTTCGGACACTTCTCTTGTATGTGAAGAATTAATTAATCAGTTGGGTATCAAAGGTAAAGAGACTTCGATAAAGGTGGCGACTGTGAACGGAACTACCAATTGTGAATGTTTGGAGGTAAATTTAGAGGTATTTTCATTAGATGAACGGGGTTCTATAAGGATCAACAAAGTTTACACGACCAAGAAACTTCCGATTGATCATGCAGCACCTTTAACCGAACTCCAACTGAAGCGGTGGAAACATCTGAAGGACATAACCCTTCCTAGGTTGCAAAGTAATTTCGTAGGAATATTGATTGGGTGTGATGCTCCGGATGCACATTGGGTCCTGGAACAACGTCTGGGGGACAGGAAGCATCCGTTTGCTGTGCGTACTCATCTTGGTTGGATGATTATAGGTCCTAAGGGAGTATCAAGGTCTCTACATCAAGTTCAGTGGTGTCATTGTTCCACTAATGATATTTTGCGAGATTTAGAAAGACTATATAATCATGAGTTCGAGGATACAGATACGTTTCGTAATGGATATTCTGTCGAAGATAAAAAGGCTCTAGAAATAGTTAGCAGTTCGTTTAGATTGGAGGGTGGTCATTTCCAAGTTGGTCTACCATGGAAGTATGATAAGCCAAGGCTACCGAATAATTTGGAACTAGCTGAACGCAGACTAGAATGCTTAAGGAAGAGGTTTATGAAAGACAACAGTCTTTTGGAGAAATATCAAGTTGTGATGAATAAACATTTAAGTAAGGGCTACATCATTGAAGCTAGTGAAGAGGGATTTGACTATGATGCTGTTTGTTGGTATATTCCTCATCATCCTGTTATCAACCCTAAAAAGCCTGAAAATTGAGAATTGTTTTTGATTGTGCGGCTGTCTATCAAGGTTGTTCTCTTAATGACCAGCTTTTGAGAGGACCGAATACTGTAAATAGTTTAATTGGTGTACTTCTGCGATTCAGATTAGGTAACGTAGCATTAGCTGCTGATATCGAAGAGATGTTTCTTCAAGTAAAGATCCCGAGACAAGACAGGGGAGCATTTCGTCTATTGTGGTGGGAAGACGGTGATATACGACGAACGGCTAAGGAATATTGTTTAACAGTTCATCCGTTTGGAGCCGTTTCCTCCCCCTTTTGCGCTAATTTCGCTCTTAAGAAGACGGTAGATATATTCGGTAAGGAATTCAATGAAGATATCCAGGATGTCGTAGATAGGAGTTTCTATGTCGACGACTATTTAGCCTCTATTGATAATGTACAGGATGCAATTGAGCTGGCAAAGGCCCTTGGTTCTCTCCTCAGAAAAGGTGGGTTTAGACTTACCAAGTGGATAAGTAACTGTTTACAAGTTCTTGAATCAATTCATCCAGAAGAGAGAGCAGAAGCCGTAAGAGAGATTGACTTTGAAAGACTTCCTACTGAACGCACGTTGGGATTATTTTGGAATACTATGGTTGATTCGTTCGAATTTAAAGTTCGCATACCGAAACGCCCCCTCACTAGGCGAGGTATATTGTCAAGTGTAGCCTCACTTTATGATCCTCTGGGATTGGTAGCACCGTTTATACTTCCCATGAAGCAGTTACTTCAACGTTTAGGTAAATTGGGACTAGGATGGGACGAAGAGATTCCAAATGAGGAAAGCAAACGCTGGTTAGAGATTTTAAGTGAATTTCAGAGGGTTGAGAACGTTAGTTTTCCACGTTGTGTATTGTTTCCGCAATCAGATCGTTCGCTCCTGGAACTTCATATTTTCAGTGATGCATCGGAAACTGGGTATGGTGCGGTAGCATACGTTCGCTCTTACATTTCTGACATTGAAATATGTTCTCGTCTTGTTACGGCTAAGGCAAGAGTAGCCCCCTTGAAGGTCCAAACTATACCGCGCTTGGAACTTACGGCAGCAGTTTTAGCAGCTCGCATGGGATACCAACTGCAGTCAGAATTAGATATTAAGTTTGCAGAGGTTAAATTTTGGACGGATTCCATGATTGTCTTACACTATATTAGAAATGAGAAAAGCCAGTTTAAAACATTCATAGCAAATCGAATTTCGACTATTCACAGTCTTACTAAGGTGGACCAATGGAGATTCGTACCTTCTAAAGAAAACATAGCAGACTTTGCATCCAGAGGGGTCAAGTTTGACATTGATGATGTCAAGGTTTGGGAGGAGGGTCCACGTTTTCTCAAGAAGCCGAAGGAGTGTTGGCCTGCCGCTGATGTACAATGTCCTGAACCCCATCTCTTGGAAATAAAGAAGGCAATGTCGGCGCATGTAATGGCTGAAGAATCCACTGTTGATCAACTTATTAATTATTATTCAGATTGGACTAGATTACTTAAGGCTGCTGCGTGGTTAATCCGATTTAAGCGATATTTATTGGTAATGCGTTCTGGTAGAACTGATCTGTCTCTACAGGTGGGCATGCTTAGAGTTGATGAGTTAAATTTCGCTTGTTTAGAATTAATTCGATATGTCCAACGCATAGTATTTCGGAAAGAGATTGAAATGTTATTGTCCGATACCATTAGCAATGTAAAATAAAAATTCGCCGTTACGAATCTTAAATCCAATGATGATAAACGGATTATTATGTGTTGGTGGCCGCCTTCAAATTAGTTCCTGGCCCGAGTCGAGGAAGCATCCTATAATATTACCATCGAAGCATACAATTACACATTTGATTCTACAGCACTACCATACTTTGGAGGGACATGTTGGAGCTACACAGGTAATGGCAACGGTCCGAGAAAGATTTTGGGTGCTGAGGGGTGGTGTAGCCATGAGGAGGGTGATAAAGAATTGTGTTTATTGTAAAAGGAGGAACGCCCGTCCCATTCAACAACTAATGGCACCATTGCCTCCGGTCAGAATAGAAGGTGGTGACTACCCATTCTTATCAGTTGGGGTAGATTATTTTGGACCCATTATGGTTAAACATGGTAGAAGTACTGAAAAGCGATATGGTTGTGTATTCACTTGCTTAAGGTTGAGAGCTGTGCATCTGGAGGTGGCATATAGCTTTACCACAGACTCATTTATCATGGCACTAATGAGGTTTGTCAGTAGGAGAGGCTATCCAAAGGAGATATACAGTGATAATGGATCAAATCTGGTGGGAGCTGAGCGTGAACTAAGAAAAGTCTTCAGGGTTGGGTGCAGGAGCGTATACACTCTGCATTACTAAGAAAGGGGATTGACTGGCATTTCAATCCTCCGGCTGCTAGTCATTGGGGAGGAGTGTGGGAGCGCATGATTCGCTCTGTACGAAGGGTATTGGGTGCTCTTGTAAAGGAACAATCTTTAACAGATGAATGTCTTGAAACTTTCATGACAGAGGCTGAGCGTATAATTAACAATCGACCTTTAGTTCCTGTTACAGACGACTCGAACGATTTCGAGGCCATAACACCGGCAAAACTATTGCTATTGAGAGAGAATGTCGAAGAATTCACTTACACTCTACCTAATGACAGATTTTCTAAGAGATGGAAGCAGGCGAGTTACTTGGCACAGGTATTTTGGAAACGTTGGTCTAAAGAATATGTTTCGCTATTGCAAGTAGATATAAGTGGACCCAACTAGAGAGGAACATACGAGAGGGTGACTTAGTAATGATATGTTCCGAGTTCTCCGAGAAAACAAATGGCCCTTAGGTCTAGTGCAGAGAGTGTTACCAAGTAGGGATAGATTAGTGAGGCAGGTAGAATTGAGGACAAGAAAAGGGATCCTAGTAAGAGATATTAGAAAACTGTGCCTTCTTGAAGCCGTAGATGGTAGGTAGCTACTCGGATCCCTAGGCGTACTGGTGTAAGTCCTAGGGATCACGAGATTGTTGGTGTATTGAGTGTTTGTTGTTGATTGTTTGTGATGCATAAACTTGGATTCTTGTTTATTTATTTGTCTGTGAAAAGAACCAAGGTTCTTTTGGTCGGGAGTGTTACGGGAGAACTGAAGACATTTGGCGGATTAAAACCTTTTATTGTACATTAATAATTTACTGTTTTTGGATGTAATTGTTTTACTTAACTTTTGAACTTTTTGTTTATATCATTATTTCGGACATTTTGGTTTGGTATTTTGGTGCTCTTTTGTCTTTGGTTTGGTATTTGGGAGTTTTGCTCCGGGAACCTACAAAATTGAAGGTTTGTTTTGTAATTGTTATAATTATTGTTGTTAGAACGACATTTGGTCGATTATTTGTGAATTACGAATAAACGTGGTACCTGATTTGGACTTTTGGTTCTCTTGCTTACTTGGGTTCGTGATTTGCGAATACCGATAGTCCGTACTTCAATAACTGGAACGAGCAAAACTCATACTTGGACGTAATATGTCCCAAGTTCATACATTTTTCCTAAAAATGCAAAACGTTTGTAATATCGATCAGTAAATTATCCTACAGTTATTGTGATATTGCATTAGATGTTTCTAGAAGAAGAATTTTCGAACTTTATTCGTAATACCTGTCATGTCAACAACCTAAACATTATTCATTAATAGTTAAGGTTAATAATATGTTGTCAGCAAGAAATAAGTAAACATGTCAATTTGTATGTGGAAAAAGAGGGAACCGAAAAAACAATTAATAATAACTACAATCACATAAAACAACAACGTATGAATCAGTAGAATCTGTCAAGGTACTTTCTCTAAATCAATAATTTAGTTTCGAAAAAATCCACCCAATAATTCACCTGTTAATTTAAGTAAATTTGAATATCTTTGTACCAAAGAGAATGGAAAAGATATTTTTGGGAGTATTAATTAGGAATCAAATGTTTTATGTATAGTATTACATTAAGTTTGTTACAACATAAACCGATGTAACAACATATCGGTGGAAGGTCTACGCATAACTAAGCAGAAAGTATGACATTATTTTAAGAGCAACATATTTATTGTATGCTAATATGCTGACCTTTGCCACTTACTTAGAACAGAATAACATACCTGAAAAGACCTACTGGGGAATCATCAGAATCCGACTGCCCATTCTTATCGATAAAATCGCCGATCAGATTTATAGCGACAATCCCAACCTACAGAAATAACGAATCCAGACGTTTTGACGTACCTGACTGTATAAGTTTAAGTTATTCGGATGGTTTTTATAGAGAAACAGTTGAATATATGAGCCGGAGGCGTCAATATGAACTGACTTTAATTCCCTTGCCTTGTACTCTGTGGCCTGATTGTCTGATAGCGCTACATATCTAAAATATAGGATACATACGAACTATGTGTAGATTGATTTACCCAAGTCTAGTATACCTGGCGTTTTTAAAATGTTCCATTTCATCGTCCGGCGTATCTCCAACGAAAAACTCAATCTTTGACGCTAAAATAACAGTATTAAGTTAGTTTTACGAGCAAACCAATTAAATATTGATGGCAAAGTAACTGTATTTTGCGAAAACTAGCTTTGGCTTCCAAAGATAAAATAAGCTGTTGAGGGTAAGAACAAAAGCGAGTAGAAATCCATCCTTTAGTTCCTGGATGGTGATGATTTAGTTCTGTGGCAGGGAAGTGTTCGTCTTGGCTTGAAACATAGACGACACGAAAAGGTAGCTTGTGTGGCATAATCTGACCACCTTTAACGCCAATGGACAAACAACGCGCTAGTAAAGGAGACTTCTATTGGTGTAACAGTTTACATAACCTGAGTAACTAAAACCCATGACTTGAAAAAACAAAATATCTTAAAACAGATTTGTAAAATTATTTAGTATCCAAAATTAACAAAAAACCAATATTCTGCTGTTTCTGTGAAATTTTGTCAAGATCCCTCTTCTATAACCAAACAGTAACACTTTTACCCAGTGTATTTAGAAGTCAAGTCACTAATGAGCATATGTTGATTAATATCAGATGGGTTTTGTGGATGTTACTGTAATTTCAATGAACAAGACCATGAGTCAGTTGAAGCTAGACCACGAGGTATATCCTGGAGTTCTAGTGAGAAGTAGTGACCAGTGGAGTTCAACGAAGTCCGTTGTGGGATAGTAACTCACTAAAGACAATGGTGGATATGTCGCTCAATTTTGTGGATTAACTGAAGTTAGATATTAACACCGTTGGATGACGGCTCAGTGGTCTAGTAGTTAAGTGCTCGCGCGCGAAGCCAGTAGGTCGTGGGTTCGAATCTCGCAGGAGGCGATGTCGTGGATGATGACATTTTTGTTAGATAAACGGGTACTTATAATGACTATATAGCCTGGAGATTGTGACCATAACTCAATGATATTCTCTTCTGCAGAAAATGAAATAAGTTGACAGACTGATCATTTCGAATAAGTAAGATTGCTATTATGATGTACTAGTTACGTATTGGTTTGCCACACTGAAAAACACAGTAAACTTGTCTGAGTCGAGAGATATTATATGAAGTCAAATTCAAGGAGGCATTCACAAAGTTCGATGACATTTTATCGCTTTACTCTAGTATCCATAGTACACTAAATGTATTGGAACTAGCTTCCAGAATTATACACTGACCAAACAAATCGCTGTTTCGTTTTTGGAAAAAGCTTATCGCTCAAAATGATATCATTGACCCATCACTATTGCACTTTTAAAACTCACTGGCTATCATGTGGAGCCATGGCATTCGTGACTTAAAACTCCTAAATACACTGGGTAAAAGTGTTACTGTTTGGTTATAGAAGAGGGATCTTGACAAAATTTCACAGAAACAGCAGAATATTGGTTTTTTGTTAATTTTGGATACTAAATAATTTTACAAATCTGTTTTAAGATATTTTGTTTTTTCAAGTCATGGGTTTTAGTTACTCAGGTTATGTAAACTGTTACACCAATAGAAGTCTCCTTTACTAGCGCGTTGTTTGTCCATTGGCGTTAAAGGTGGTCAGATTATGCCACACAAGCTACCTTTTCGTGTCGTCTATGTTTCAAGCCAAGACGAACACTTCCCTGCCACAGAACTAAATCATCACCATCCAGGAACTAAAGGATGGATTTCTACTCGCTTTTGTTCTTACCCTCAACAGCTTATTTTATCTTTGGAAGCCAAAGCTAGTTTTCGCAAAATACAGTTACTTTGCCATCAATATTTAATTGGTTTGCTCGTAAAACTAACTTAATACTGTTATTTTAGCGTCAAAGATTGAGTTTTTCGTTGGAGATACGCCGGACGATGAAATGGAACATTTTAAAAACGCCAGGTATACTAGACTTGGGTAAATCAATCTACACATAGTTCGTATGTATCCTATATTTTAGATATGTAGCGCTATCAGACAATCAGGCCACAGAGTACAAGGCAAGGGAATTAAAGTCAGTTCATATTGACGCCTCCGGCTCATATATTCAACTGTTTCTCTATAAAAACCATCCGAATAACTTAAACTTATACAGTCAGGTACGTCAAAACGTCTGGATTCGTTATTTCTGTAGGTTGGGATTGTCGCTATAAATCTGATCGGCGATTTTATCGATAAGAATGGGCAGTCGGATTCTGATGATTCCCCAGTAGGTCTTTTCAGGTATGTTATTCTGTTCTAAGTAAGTGGCAAAGGTCAGCATATTAGCATACAATAAATATGTTGCTCTTAAAGTAATGTCATACTTTCTGCTTAGTTATGCGTAGACCTTCCACCGATATGTTGTTACATCGGTTTATGTTGTAACAAACTTAATGTAATACTATACATAAAACATTTGATTCCTAATTAATACTCCCAAAAATATCTTTTCCATTCTCTTTGGTACAAAGATATTCAAATTTACTTAAATTAACAGGTGAATTATTGGTGGATTTTTTCGAAACTAAATTATTGATTTAGAGAAAGTACCTTGACAGATTCTACTGATTCATACGTTGTTGTTTTATGTGAATTGTAGTTATTATCCTTTGTTTTCGTCGTCTTATGCTGCGTTTATGCAATTATATAAAACTCTACTTGTTTAGCACGTTCCGCTTTTTTTGTCTTAGTGTATGTTATTTGTCAAAAGTAAACGAACTGAAAAGACTAGATAACTAAAAGCATAGAAATATGTCTTGTATTTTAGTATGATTTAATGTTGATATACAGTTACTACTGAACTATTTATTTAGTAGCGATGGATGAATCGTCTCTCAACCCTGATGAACCGATTAGCTTGAGTCAGTTGCGACGAAACTGTTCGTCTCACATGTTTGAAATACTTAAAATTTTATATCATGTTACAAACCATACGCACTGTTTAAACCGAAGGCGTTTGTTGGATGATATTGTTATTTTTAATAATTTAAAGACATGAGTTTGGTTGATCGGAATTCGCTTTTAGTACACTACTATAATAGCGTCTTTATTCATAATTTTTTGTTGAGGTTAGGTTCGTCGGTATATAGTTGCTGGCGGTCAGTTTATTGTATGGTGTCGTGGGTCTGTTATTTATCTGTGTATGGATGACTCAAAACCATATGAGAAATTAGACAGTTCACGCAAATAAGTTAATTGAAATGATCTGTGGTTTAGGATCACACCAGTGGCGGTCGCATAGCTTTTTGTCTGTATTTCAAGTCGATTAAAAGATGGTTAAAAACTTTCCTAATTGTTATACTTTAAAAGATCATTAACCAGCTTCATCGCTCTGTTTACATTTTTAAATTTACTAGTTGACATGTTGGAGTAAGTTTCTTTTGATTGTTGCTTCGTTTGGTTCGATACTGCAACCTTGTATTCAGTTCTGTTAAGTAATGTGCATATTGTATGATACTTGAACAGAACGTCCATCTTGAAACCACTTCACGTAATAACGCCTATGTATTCCTTCTGAATATTATAGCTCCTCTAGTCAAGTAATCTGTTCACACAATGAGTTTGTCCTTAAATGACTGTGCATACAATCGCTACGATTAATGATAGCGAAATCAAAAAAATGTTTTCATCAATATATAATAGCTTATGAGAAGTTGCATTTTCAGCACCTTTTTAGGAAATATTAAATGTATTCCAATACTTGTTTGTATAACTTCTTCATCGTAGTTTTTGCTAAATGTTGGTAAATCAAAATGTATAGAAGTACGTGTTCCTCGAGAAAAATCAATTTAAATCGGTCGTCGGAGTATGCGATTAACACAGACTTTATTAATAAACTTTTATGCTATTGAGTTGTATAGGCATTCCACTGAATATACATACTCATTTATTCACTTTAAAATGGTGTCGGTCAGTCACTATCAATGTGAGGCCACATCGCACGTCGGAAGATTGAGTGGAAATCAACACAACATGAAGCATGAAATGGTAATAAAATGTGAAGTTTCGTGTGCTAGAAATTTACGGTTTTAGTAGTAAAATGAATCAAGACAATGTTTTCGGACTTTCGTAGCGCATTCCTGGTCTAGATCATGTATATTACTTGGCTGTAATATTACTAAAATGCTTCATTAGTTCTTCCCAATAACTTTGTAAGATGTCTGAAATGATAGGTTTAATAATTAACCTTGCAGAAGGGACAAATATATATTGATAGCATGCTTTTGAGTGAATTGTTCAGTTACGCATTCGTCATTTAAATATGCAAAGATCCAAAATTATAACAATTATAAAAAGGCATATAGTGTGTCCATCGCATTAATAATTAGTGAATTTTGTTCCAAATAAGTAACTAGATCATGATCTACCTTATTAATCTTTGTGGAATCTGACAAAATTTATAGATAAAATATTCTTTATTTGATTCGAATTTTCGGTAATTCAATATTTTCTTGTGACGTCACTCAGCAATCTGAATTTGTTCTATTCTGTATTGTCTAAATAGATGCACTTCAAGATATAGGTGTACCTGCATTTTCCGTAAGATAGAAATAAAATTTCCCCCATTAGATGTGTTGTCTGTAAATTTCAAAATCATGAAACCGAATTTCCTTCAAACTTTCAACGTCCAGTTTACTCCAAACATTTAAAAGCTTCTAATATGATCTTATTCGTTGTTATTGATATAATAGGCAAGGACTGAAGCCTAACAGTCAGGTCTTCATTGGAGTGAGTGACATAAAACTAGTTTTCTCAATTTATATAAAAAATCTAATTCTCTGTATTTTTCCATTGACAATTCGTATATAACCCTGTTGTTTTATCAGGTCAAACTCCCATTCTACTTGGAAACTGTTTTATTTTCTGTTATCTATTCGATTGGGTTCTAAGTCTGTAATCCGGTTTCATGAGTAACCATCTCTTGACCACTTCGTATCATTACGTTTATTGGCTTTAATAATCCAAAACCTGACTATTGATCAACTCATAAAATCCCACTGCATTACAGTTGTATTAACCGCTTAAGTCATCATTATCTTCATAACGTGTTTACACTTACAAATGTTTAATTGTGAAATAACACGCTCTATTAATCGATGATCATTTATTTTCAGACAACTTATCTGGGTTTAGTCCTTAATTCCATATATTTTTACAGAAGTTGTCCTCCATTTTGAAATTGACTATAAGTACTATAGTGATTTTTCAATTTTCGATTTTCCCCTATTTTACTCATCTATTTTTATTTGTCTAGGCCAGATTACATACCTCCCACTGAAGACTTAGCGTTTGATATGTATCAAGATCCCGAAGTTGCTAACATAATTAGAAGGTTAGAAAAACAAAAACGTCTAGCTGTTAAGGGTATGTGCCTCATTTTTAATCAGATTTTTATTATACTTGAATTCGTATGCCGATGTAAGCTAGACCACCATTGAGTCCTAGTGAGAAGCCGTGACTATTGGAGTCCAATCTGTTTCGGGTAGAGACAGGTATCTACCTTAGACAGTGGATGAATTGTTGTGCAGCCATTCATGGATAGTTAGAATTTAGACATTAACAGCTCATTAACAGTTCAGTGGTTTAGAGGTTAAGCGTTAGCGTGCAGGACCGAAGGTCATGGTTCGAATCGTGGATGCACGCTGCTGAGGAGTCCCGTACTAGGACAAACGGCCGTCTGGTGCTTCCAGGTTTCCAATGGTAGTCCAGCTTACATTGACGCATGAATTCAACTATTAAAATTACTACAATCTCCTCAAACCGCATTCTGATCAGATTTCTATTATTTAGAGTAATATGTTATGTAAAGACTGGTTAGATAACATATCGAAATTGTAAAGAAATATTGAGTTATAAGTTGTTAAATTTCATAGTAGAAAATCAATGATCGTTGATTAATATTTTGGTAATTATTATTAATTTCGAGCTACATTGTTTGACTGAGTTCATTTCTGTAGCTTTTAAAATATTTCTAATTTACATGAATTAAATAATACTAAGCTATTTTTAGTGCAGATTTATTTGTATTTGTTTTCGTTCAGCTTCTGAAAAGTATTTAATGACCTTAAAGAAGATAGTTGACTGTTTTAGAATTCTTACTAGACAACAGTTTATCTCAAGTGATTTTTTTTCACGATGATTCAGGTATATAAACGAAGTTTATTCTTTTCAATGGCTTCTTATCATGTTCTACAGTTACGCAGGAAAATTAATATTACAAAGGAATAACTTAATTTAAAGAAAATGCAGTCGTTAAAAATTAAAGTACCTTAATTTATGATTGTTGGTTGAAATAAAATAAAACTGTTAACTTTGAAAAAATCAGTTGTGATGTTAAGCTGATTGAAATTATGAGAGATTAATCTGAATGTATATTTATAAAACCTAATGAGGAGTTATTGAAACGAATATTTTTTGTCCGTATAACTGTGTTTTTAATATATCTTGGGAGTTTTTAAACAATTATAATTTGCAGTATAGGGTTGTAGATATTTTTGAATTTCACTGAATTAATGAACCGATCACCATCACTGAAAACCTGAAGGTGAGACAGGAAGTCCTGGGCTTCGAGTTCCAGGTGCGACATCGTGGATGTGCACTGCCTAGAAGTCCCAAACTAGAACGAAACGGCCTCTCAACGCTTCCAGATTTCCAACGGTGGTATAACATTGACTGGTTCTTGGTTTCAATGAAATTATAATTTGACTGTCCAACTTACCTTTTATTATTAAAAGTAGCTGCTATTCAACTGGATAAACTATTCCATATTACCTGTGTAATAGATCAAACTTTGTTTATCAGGTTTACTCGAAAAGTGAGTTTAGGTATCAAGTTCTGTACTGCAGTGAATCATAGTGATCTCTACTAAGAACTGAGAGGCCAATGTGAAAAAAATTCGACAAATCACTTAAAAGATTAAATCTACTCAACATGTTCTACATTCTCCGGAATTGATCTAGTTGTAGAGGAAATAAAACCAATTTTATTACAATAAGACTCGGTTAATAATCAGCTCTTTGAAGTTTTTTGTTTCATAGGTATCACGTGTTTGTTTAGATGAAGGAAAAAAGACTAGCTATATATTTTATTCAACTTTTATTTCAGTTATTGTGAGTTAGGGTTGAAATAATAAATTGATCTATATAATTTCAAAACAACAAACTTTATTCAAAACCCCCTTGAATCTTTACGGTTTCACTTTGTCTTCTTACAATTTATCAATATTTTTTTAATTCGGCAACAGCACCGAGGTTACGCATACACGATGATATGAAAAATTGGAAAATAAATCATGTAGTTGATTATTGTTATGTTGTATCTATTTGTTTGGATAATTCTTCATATATCATCCGTTAAATATTCAATCTGTTAATCGACGTAATCCACTACATTCAAAAAAATCGGTTTAGGTTTCCAACAATTGTTTATGTTTCCTCTATGTTTTACAATTAATTTTTAGCTGAACGCTTTGACCAAGCTCAAGGTATACGAGATGCTATAACTCAACTGCATCAGGTATGTATGATTTTAAATTTGAGTTTATACATTAACATAGCAATTGTTGAACAAATTTTTAACTTAGTGTATATAAACTAAAGTCTTCTGGCTTGTTAATTGCCAGTACTTAATAGTTGATATTTTAAACTGAGCATATAATTTTATAGAAGATAAGGAAGGGTTCGGACATAAATTGTTTGCTTGGTCAACGAATTAGTCGCATAATTTACTTTTGTTTCATTATCTTTCAGGTCGGTGAACGTCTCGGTAGATTAGCACTTGAAAAACAACAAGCTGTTGAGGAAGAAAACTATGAACAAGCTAAGTTAAAAAAGAATCAAATAACTGAAATGCGTACTAACTTATATCGAGATATTGATTTAATGAAATTGTTGTCTAGTAATACTTCACAGAACAACGTGAACAACTTTATGGTCGATCAGATAACCAGTTTCCTGATACGGTAAGAAAACTGAACTGAAGATTACATAAAAAATAATATATTTGTAACAATCAACCTAATGCTCAATTTATTTGAAATTATCAAATCAAACCTTCGTAATGATACCTATGAAGATTACATAATTCTAGTTGTATAAATTTATTCATTTACTACTATTATTATTGTTCTTAGTATGGGGTTGTGGAGCTTCTTGAAGGTTATTGAGATCACTAACCGATCTAAGTTAGAAAATCTTTGAAAATCCGGAAGGACTGAACAGTCGTTTCATTCTAGTACGGCGTTTCTCAGCGGTTTGCGTCCACGGCTTCCTGATTGGGAGTCGAACCCAAGATCTGTCTCGCATGCGAACGTATAACCTCTAGATCACTGAACCGGAATTCGGTAGCGTACAAGTCTTATTATTATTATTATTATTATTATTATTATTATTATTATTATTAATGTCTCTTACATCATTAACGATAGATCTTCGGATTCTGTTTCTATCTTTTCACTGACTCAATACATTCTAGTTAAATTTTCCTCTTTTCCATGTATTTTAAATGAGAATGGCATAACCTTAGATGATGAAGTGGTCACAAGTACACCAGGATTTCTGTCCATGATTCCACCCGATTATGCTAACGAAATATCAGAATAAAGCTTGCGATAGCTATTAATGAGGGCTCAACTAGGATATTCTAATGAATAAAATTCAATAACAGACTTATAGTTGTCTCTCAATAATAAGTCAAAGAAGTTCTGCAGTTAGAATTACATAAAAACACTATCAGAAGATCATCTGTTAGATACTCCTCCAAAACTATACACACCAATTCACCAAAAGAATAAATATCCATGTTTTATTCACATTTCCGATAGCGACTAGCATTGGGGTGTGCAGTGTGTGTTTTATCACGTTTTCAAACTCTTCAACAGGATGCATCCAGCTGACGAGTCTCACATGGTATAAAATTTGCGTTCTGGATTGCTTTGTTATTTGCTGAAGCAGCCCATCATATAGAACCAGAAAATGACCAAATTCATTTACCAAAATAAATAACAAGAAGATGTTAACCCTAGTAAATAATAATAATGACTATCCATGTTATATATATATATATATATATATATATATATATATATATATATATATATATATATATATTCTTCCCCCGTCTCTTCGCAGTAGTTGTAAGTTCTTGCATGCCCTTGTTTTCTTATTTCAGAATAATGACCGAAACAAAAGTAAGTGTTGATGCTTATAAAAGTATTTGTGTTTATGTGTATGTGGTTACCTTGCTCAATTTCGTGTCAAAGTTCAGCTCGTCCAGTTGTATCCAAGCAGTTCATTTTATTGCGTGCTGCCCCTCAGATGTGGAGGTCTTCGTAATTCAGTCAACCACGAGAAGAAATATAAAGGGTGACAGTAGGCAGCCTTGTCTGACACTGGTCCTCACTCGGAGTACATCCGGAAGCTGACCTCCATGCACGACTTTGCAGTGTAGTCAGTCGTATGAGTTCTAGATGATATAGACGATCTTCTCAGGTACATTGTAGTGTTGAAGGAGGTCCCGTAAGGTCCTCCTATTCACATTGTCAAACGTCTTCCCACAGACAAGGAAGTTAGTGTACAGTGACGAATTCCATTCAATTGATTGTTCAACGATAATGCATAGTGTCGCTATTTGGTCTTTTCACGACCGATCCTTACGGCATCCAGCCTGCTGATCTGGAAGTTTGGCGTCTACTGAATCTTTCATCTGGTTCAGCAACACTCTGTTGAAAACGTTTCCCGTTGCCGATAGTAGTTTGATGCCTGTGTAGTTCTCACACATTTTTAAGGTCTCCTTTCTTTGGTATCTTGATGAGATATCCTTCTTTGCAGTCTGTTAGCGGCACTTGTTCCTCTCACAAATTTCGTGAATAGAAAGTGGAGCATGATTGCAGTTACTTTTATGTCTGATTTCCCACTCTTGATCAGTTTGATGGCTATCCTGATTTTTGCGATCGTTGGTGGAGTGACAGCTATGGGAAGATCTGCAGGTGCTACTTCGATGTTTGGTGGATTCAATGGAGTTGGTCTATTCGATGGTTCTTCAAAGTGTTCCACCCATCTGTTCCTCTGTCTTTGAATCTCGGTGATTGGCTTGCCTTTTTTGTGTCTCTTGTTTAATAGAAAGGTTGAAATACCTACAAATAAATAATCACATTCTTGTCTGTTGCGCGAGCCAGCGGTTATCTGGACTCAGTTGGTTGGTAGATAATGGGCTAGATGATTCAAGAGAAAGGTAATGTATTCGTGTGTCAATGTGAAAATCAACTCGAGGATGGAGGCAAGTCTTTTTGATGGAGTTTTGTTCTCTGAGCTGGATGGTTTGGTCCTGGGGCTTTCATCGTTGTTCTGAACGAAATCATCAGCACAAACTTCTATCTGAAGTTTGTGCTCAGAGAACAAAACTCCATCAAAATCATCCACCTGAGCTACAAATCTTCTCCACCATACAGGTAAGTCTAACTGACAAGTCCTCATTAGGGTGAAATACACTTCTATACAGTTGTCCATTGCTCTTAAATGATGCCTCGAATGGGATCAATCGGCAATGAATAAAACCAGCTGATTAAAGCAATCTTCAGAAGTGCTTCTTAACTAAAAAGAACATGAGTTAACTAGTGGAATATAAGTGCCAAAAACAGAAGAGAGTAAGTTGATTAGTTTGCTTACAAATATACGGATTTCTCATGAATTTTCAGCATTTTAATTTGGTGATTATCATAGTTGAATTCATCTGTTTTCTTTTATTAGTCAATTTTTATCGAAGTTATCTTTCGGAACTTGTTTACTGTCTGACTTATTCCCATCACATATTTGATATTGTGATCGCTGAAAATGATAAGACTTTATTATTCTATACTCATACACAGTACTGGAAGTGTAAATTCAAATGTAATAAAGCAATATATGATACTACCAAGAAATACATATTTCACTGATTGAAGTTATGAGTCCATTGAAGCTAGACCACCATGGAAAACCTGGAAGCACTGGACGGTTGTTTCGTCCTGGTATGGGACTCGTCAGAAGTGCGCATCCACGACCCCGCACTTCTGACGAGTCCCATACCAGGACGAAACGACCGTCCAGTCCTTCCAGGTTTTCCATGGTGGTCTAGCTTCAATTGACTTATGGTTCCAATCAGTGAACTTTCTAAAATCTCCACAAAACCTCTTCTGAAAATGCATATTTGTTCTTCATAACATATGAATTTGTTTTATTTATCTGAAGTCAATCTTACTGTTCGTAAATAAAGAAACTCTTTGAAACGTCATGATATGACGACATTAATTTATCATACATAGTAACGAAGCATCAAAGTAAACAGACTGAGAACGTTAATATTGCTATTGTTATTATTATCATTACTATACTCAGAGATGGATGGTAACTAGCAGTGGAATTCAGAGCACGCGTTTTGTTCTATTTGGGATTTGTCAGCCGGATGCACATGCATCCCGGAGTTGATGTTCGCCCTGGGATTCAAACCCAGTACCGTTTGCTGGTACGTTCAGCTGACGAATTCCGAATAGGATGAATTGCGTATCCCGAATTCCACTGCTAGACATCATCCATCTCTGCTTACAATGCACATATACCAATAAGAAACTGATTACTTGCAAACCTAAACGTCAATGAGAAGATTCAAACAACCTATACAAGATGCATTATTATTATTATTGTTGCCATTAAGAGACTGAAAATGTAGTTGTTGAGACTTTGACAATTAATTAGGAACGTCATAGAAATCAGATAAAAATTAACAATCGTGAAAATTAATTCCGTAATAAATTTCGATATATTTCGGAATGAAGCTCGGTATTACCAGTAAGGGATGCAAACAGAATAAGTAGATTAGAGGTAAGAGTTTAACAAAGTAAAAGAGAAAGTGCGGTGTGAGAAAAGTTGAATTTAAGACTTTAGTAAGAGAAGAGGTTGAATAACTTTCTTTCGTAAAAATTATTTTAGCTTCCCTAAATCTATGCTGAAATACATAGAAAAGCAAAAGAAACGGAACGGCTGTGAATAAAATCTCACGAAAAGTAGTACACTTATCTACTTTGTATTACTAAAGCTTTCATCATACGTATGGGAAAGCCAGCACTATGTATACTAACAGAAATTACTCAACTTGTTCTTCTACTGTGGTCTTAAGTTCCACTCTTCCTTATCGATCATTACCTGTTTCCTAGACTATGAAATTCTTAATGTGAATAATTCTATGCTCTTGATAATGACTGGCGAAACTATTAACACATACAGTAAATGAAACATATGCCATTCATACTCCTAGTTACTGTCAAACGTCATATAACAGACTTATTCTTTTCACTGACCAATTAGTAAGCTATTTGTGCAAGTTTACAGGTAGATTGTTTTTACTAATTCAAATGTCCATCATATTTCGTGCTAATAAATTTTTTCTTAGTTAAAGATGCATAATTATGTGTTACCTTTATCATTGTTGCTATTTACCGATAAAATCTGTCAAATAGGATAAGAACAAATAATATTTTATTATTAAATAGAAGCCTAATTTATTATTATGCTTCTCTATAAAACATACCAAACATTAAAAAAGCTTATAAATCAACAAATTATAGTAGATATTTATTATATAGGAACAGGTAGTTAATAGAGTTATTAATTTTCAAAGTCCCCTAGAATAAATATATTCACAAATTGTTTTATATTTCTTCTTTCTTTTACCAGTAAATCCAATACAACCAATACATTTTCAAAGTTTATTAGTAAGTGATGATCTAAACGAAAATAGGCGCAGTAATGGATCATATAGTGTTAACAACAACAGTGGCAATAATAATAATCAAAATGTTGATTACTTTCCATTTCGTCGTGCTTATCCTTCAAATGATCCTGATGAACGTCCTTTACCAGCTCTTAAAAATAAGCATAGAAGTAATAGTCCAATAGTCGATCCAGCTGACGAAGAGCATTATACATCGGAATTACCAGTCCAAGTGCTTCATGAACAACCTTTTGAGAATTACAACCATTCTGAATATATACCACCACTTGATGCAGTTGAAGCTATTCAAAGAGACATTGATACTTATGAAGATGAACAAACGATGAAATACTTAGAACAAGCAGCTCATGATCGCATGGTCGATGGCAGAGAAAATTTTCAGCATAGTATACTTGATCTTCCTGAGCCAATGAGCGAAACCAATCGACGTCAGGCTGGTGTAGCTATTGATGTTGTAGGCATTAATCTTGTAAGAATCATTTATGATTTATTAATAATATTGTTTTTTTTTGTAAAACAATCTCGAATATATATTTTGTACAGTTAACTGATTATATATAATTTTTAAAAAGTACATTAAGATAACAATCTAAATTGCATGTTTCAAATAATTTATTTAATTGTTTTATTTACTAGTCTTTTGAATTCTTTATGAGTATAATCAAAAAAATAACAAGACGTTAATAATATTTGTATGTTCATATGGTAGGTTATGTGTTTTATTGTAACGATCATGTTCATTTTGTCATGAAATTTGCATAAGAGAGTGGGTTGTAGGATCAGAGTAATTCCTTATTTTATCATAGGATCACTGAAAATTAATCAATATTTATGTTTATTACATCGAAGTAAGTGGAAATAAGTTAATATACATTCTTATTTGGTTGCTTTAAATATATATAGTTACTAATTAATTGTAATACGAAAGCAAAACATAACTTACGTGATAAAACAGTGTTTGACTTGAGGATCACTAAATATCATTTCAGTGAACTTATTTGCTTTCGTGTTTTATTTACTATGTCTTAAGAAGAGTGGTTGTTTAATACAGCTTCAACTATTTTTCTATTGTACACGGGAAGCTGACTGAAGAAGTAAATGAAAGCAAATATATTGTTTTTTTCCAATTAAAATTTTTCCTAATTTCTACCTGATCTGGGTTTGGCAAATCTTATCTTTACTGTCCATACAATAAAATTTGTTTTACTACTGGGTAAACATTCTAAATTTCTATTAAAATCAATACTTGATTGGGGTGAGGTGAACTTTAATAGACCATCATCCATACACAACAGAAGCATTGTGTATCGTCTTGATTATGAAAACAGTAATCGTACCCAGACACTTTCTTTTTCACCATTTTGATTTCCCTTTACACAGTTAGTTGAATCTAGGTTCGTAAGTGTTTACCTGACTCGCCGCCTCATTTTTTCTACTCTCGCTAATACTGTTATTACTTATTCTATTCGGGCATCCTACTGTGGTGATATAATGTAGCGACTTGAACCGATGTACATATGTGCCAGGTTCTATGTTGCCTTATGTCAGGTTTACTGAGATTGATATTATCTGCATACACTATATCATTATGACACTATTTCTTACTCCTAAAATTTTGAATTTTTAGATGATTAAAGAATCGATTTTACTTAAAACTTTTTAAACTCTATTCTACATAAAATCCTGTAACTAATGGTGAATATATTATTATTGTTATATGCTAAAATCTTTGTGTTCGTTAGTGACACTGTGGGAAATAAATAGTCGTTTTTCATTTTATTCATATGTAATAAAAGTCTGACGAAACAATCTGTTTATTACGTGCTTTTCAACAATATAGTACTGTTATGTTTTTCCTTAGATTAATTGGTTTTCAAATTTCATGCTTAACTGTATCCTTTCTCTTGAATATTGACTTCAAAATATCATTGTACTTTTCTATCAGTGAGAATAGTTTATGTTATTTTGTTATTGTTGATATTTTGAAAGTTAAGTGAATCAGTTGATTTATGTATTGATAAGTGTTGATATGTAATACTCTATAAAATGAAGGTTTTCGTTATTTTTACAAATCAGTTACCTTTTTTCATGTTTTTTTCTTTCAAAATGATTAATTTCATTTGTTCAATCGAAAAAATTTGTCGTTAAATGGTACATTTTAAGTGATAATGTTTTGTTGTATTGTGGTGATGTATGAAGTTTCTGTCATAAAGTTCTGTGAAAAGATTTTTCTAGAAACATATTATGAACTCAGACACCTGGTTAGTGTTTAACTCATAAATTATTTATTATATATATCACACTTGATGGCGAAACTCTGGACGATGTAGAATCCTTCGCGTACCTGAGAAGCATCCTCGATGAACAAGAAGGATCAAATGCAGAAATAAAGGCGAGGATTGGCAAAGCAAGGGCCGCATTCCTATAGTCGAAGAACATATGGAACTCAAAACAACTTTCAAACAATGTCAAAGTGAAAATCTTCAATACGAACGTCAAGGCAGTTCTACTGTACGGAGCTGAAACTTGGAGAACTACTACAACCATTATCAAGAAGGTGCAAGTATTTATAAATAGTTGTCTACGCAAGATATTCAACATTCATTTGCCGGATACCATCAGTAACAGCCTTTTGTGGGAGAGAACAAACCAGCTTCCAGCTGAAGAAGAAATTAAGAAAAGACGATGGAAATGGATAAGACATGCATTACGGAAATCATCAAACTGTATCACGAGACAAGCCCTAACGTGGAATCCTGAAGGAAAGCGGAAAAGAGGAAGGTCAAAGAACACATTTAGTTGGGAAATAGAAACAGATATGAAAAGGATGAATAACAACTGGAAGGAGCTGGAAAGGATTGCCTAGGACAGGGTTGGATGGAGAATGCTAGTGAGCGGCCTGTGTTCCTTCACTAGGAGTAACAGGAGTAAATTTAAGTTGATATATATATATATATATATATATTATATATAATATTATATATATATATATATATATATATAATTCAATTTATTTAAGGTGACTACATAATACGAAGTTGTTCTGAATACATTTACATTGTTTCTTTACAGGTTACAAAAGCATATAGCAAATCATGGGTTTTCCGTGAAAAAGCTCTACTTGAATTAGAACAGCGTGTAACTGCACCGAAACTTCCTCCTCCTGTATCACTTCCTGATACAGCACATCCTGATCCAAAAGCTGAAATTCGATCGACTACATTTCTTTTACGTCGTGCATTAAATGATCAAGTAGGAATAAAAGTTTTTTCTTTCAAAGTTTTGTAAATATGATTGTGTTTAAGTATTAATTCACCTTCAAAAATTAGAATATTTTTAATACATTCATTTATAAATGTATCCAAACAGTCAATTATGTATGATACATTTTTTCTCATATTCTTTCTTTTCCTCTCTCCAGGTTTTGTCAATATTTCGTTTAGCCACAAAATTCGTCAAACCAACAATTGTCAATTTTGCTGATAGATATGGTATTCCACGACCTGATTTATATTATTGCATGGATAAATTAACTCCAGTAATTTTTCAACGAACTGGTGATACTTCATCACGTGTTAGGGAGATAGCTAAACAACAAATTTTAGATATGGCACAATGGCCACAGGTTATTCACTCTATATTATTATTATTATTAATTTCTTATTAAAGAGCTTACTTTATAACAGCGTTTTAGTTTCATATACAGCAAAATTTTTCATGGTATTTAGTGTAATTATCGTATCAACAATGTATACTTATCATAGAAATTATCTGACTTAGTCATATATAAAAATTTTAAAATGTTGTTACTTGTTAAGAAATTGTTTACCAAAATATTTGAGCTAAGCTTTCATTACGGAGTGATATCGACAAAATAGTCATTGAAAACCCAGCGAACAATGTACACACCATTATCCCTCTAGGGATCTAACGTTGAACCTTTTAGGTTTCCTAGTATGATAATTTTGGTTTATTGAATTGTAGTACAACGATCCACATTTTCGAATTCAACCAACATTATAGTATATTGACCATCCGACACCATTGAAGATAATGGTCGGAATCTTAACATGATTAACGTTCATTTGTCAAACCATATCACTAGAAATACAGGAAATCATTTCGAAGTTGGTCGCTAATAAGAAAATGATTAGTTGTGAAGCACATGAGATAACTGTGGAATACTTGCTTTGACTCAGAAGATATCAATTGGTAATGTAAACTAATTTCAAATTAAACAATCTTTCCAAACCTTTTTTAATAAGCAAAATGTTAAATGTTTGATTATTTGTAGATAATAATTTATTTATTTATTGACAAAATTGTGGAGTTTTTATCTTGCGGAGACATTAAGTTCAACTAAGTATTTTATTTCTATCATTGTAGATGAAGCAAAATACAACATTTTGGAATGAATTAGTTCGACCCTTTTCTCCTGTAACATTAGATCGTTTAGCTTTAAGTCGAATTGAACTAGCGACAGAATTATACGCCAGTCGTGGTGTAGATCCTGTTTTTTGTAATGAACATGGACATGTCAATCAGGGAAGTTTTACTTTAGAGGCACTAACTATATTCACTGCAAAATGCTTAGACCATCGATCAAACGAAGTGAGTTTCTGCTAAACATTTATTGTATTCTATTTTAGCAAAGATTGTATGCTATCAGAAACGTTATGTTGCTGCAAACCTAATGTTTACATTTTCTAAGTTTTACTTTTTCCTGTATTTGCATATTTTTATACTGTTAGGAGCAATGAAGCTTAATTTTGCACAAAAGTTGTTGCTTTATGTTTACCGTTTAATAGCGGTAAACATAAGAACGATTCATTTTATCCTTATCAGTAAATCTTCACAAAAAGAAACATTTTAAAAAGATGTTTTTGATAGCTAAAATACCCTACTTTTGATTTGTAATGTTTTTTAAAGGTTCGTGAAGCTGCTGAAAATCTTATAGTTGCTCTTTATCGTTCTGAAGATCGAGCTACTGTTCGTAGACTTATACCTTTAGATGATGTGAATTCCAATCGACATCCTTTATATAGAAGACTACTTGGAAAATTTGATCGGATTGACGGAAGATATGATCCACCATTGAATGATCGACCACCTGCGATTAAAGCTTCAGTCAAACAAAAAGAAGTTGAAGCACTTCAGGTATCAACATTTTGAAAAAAAACTAATTTCTTCATATTCACGGTCTTTATGATAATTGTTCTTTCCTGTTTATCATAGCTTTCTGAATCTGGTTATTTATATATATTCACGGACGGAAGGCATTTGAGTTATGTTTGAGATCAACTCTGAATTATCACGCCCTAAATATAGTTCCCGTGCTTAATGATAGAATATTCATTGTGTCTTTACATGATGTGTTTCAATTTGATAAAAATTATTTCTCTGTGAATGGAGCATGTTTTGGGCTTCTTTGTTTCTCAATGCCTCGAAGAATAATATCTCATACCAACTCTCAATCACGAACCCAATGTGAACTCCATACATTGTCGCGATTATTTTAAGTACACACGTGTTTCTACTTGTAATTTTTAAGTAGTTTAATCTCTTATTCATAATTGTTCAAGCAATGCTTCAGTGTTTATGCATAGTTTAACGCATTGAGGATAAACCACATATTTTAGCACAGTATAAAGAAGATTGTTAAAATGAAACGTCCATTAATTTGTCTCAAAAAGGCTATGTGAATGTGGTGCAAATGTAGTAATTGAATCTTACACTTGTTGGCAGAACATGCTGACGAAGACACTCGTGAAGAATATGCAATTGTTCTTGATTGGAAGACTGCCTTTTGGCGAAATTCTCCCATTCTCGAACAACGTGAAGCGTAATACGTTCATATGATTTTGAGAAATGAATACTGATATACAGATTAAAGACTATGAAATGCATTAGATAAACTTTTAGTAGACTCTGAGAAAACTTATACGCGCTATCGAACGCAGCGAATTACCCTGACTCAGATATTTAGCTTTCTTATAGTGTTGCGATATTCTCTCAGTTCAACCAGCTTTAACAAACGGATGTGTTTTGAAAGTTCTTGTGCTACCAGGCATCTCTATTAAATCAGACTTCTTGTGAGGTTTTTATAATTAACTATATTGCATTGTTTGACTTTAGGCAGACGTTCAACAACTCCGTGCTATAGTCGAACATGGGAATCGTGGTCATTTGACTTCCCACAAGCCTAATTCACGTGTATCACGTACTGTACCTTCGCAAAATTATGATAGAAAATCTGCTTCAAGATTAAAGAATAATGATCGTAAATCTGCAAATAACTCACAACATGGGCCTCCATCTGTATCACCGAATCGTCAGAATCATACATCTAATCAACATGGTTCACGAATTACAAAAAGTGACAATCCAAACAGAAATTCTTCAACCGCTAACATTCAATTGGAAATAAATTCACAACAACATACTGAAGAAGCAGAATTTTTACTTAGTTTAGACAAGACATGTATATTTTGTGGAGAACAAAATGATTCGTTTACAGAGGAAGGATTAGATATACATTATTGGAAAAGTTGTCCGATGCTTCATCGTTGTCCTAATTGTAAACAGGCATGTTGTCACACTTGTCTTTGTTTTATATATTGCATGTTTACAGAAGTATTTTACTCAGGTAATCTGAGTATTGGTACACTAATTCACTAACCAAAATAGCTTTTTTAGACATAATTATAATTTTAACTTTAGACTAAGTAATTAGACGGTGTAACGATAAAATCCTCTCTTGAACTACTTATGTCTATTTACTTTATGGGATTTTCAGAAGATATTAGTTTACTTCTGATAAACGACGAGTTTCATGTTAACCAGCCTCTAAGGAATGTGATAAATACTGCTCTTCGTGTTCTCTCTTTCGAAGTGAGCTCACGAAAATTTTATACCCTGTCTGAGCCAAATTTAATGAAATGATATATCGAGTTCGATTACATAATATCTCACCAATCCAGGTCAGTTGGTATCTTTTGGATAATCATTCAAAACTTTGATGTAAAACCCGGCATACGAAATTGAAACCATTATTATTCATTACACAGAAATATGTTCAAAATCTATCTTGCCACTAGTTTTTAACGTTTTCTTTTAAAATTCTGTTTGCCATCAAATGATTTCACATCGTCTTATACTGAATGTGCTCACTTTTATTATTTGGTGATGTTTGATATGTAGCCGATTAGTATTCGGAAATATTTTCATTTCTGTTGTTGAGGATGGACCTGGGAGACATGGGATCACATCCACTAGGGAGCATAAGTTCCCTTAAAATTCCAGATACAACTTACTGACAAGTGCCAAGAAGCACAAAACCTAGGTTCAGGATTTCTTATCGATTACCTCAAACCACCTGATATTTCAACATATCGCACGCAATGTTGAGTCACTTAAACTAGTAGCCATATTGCAAATTGGTTCATAGAATCCGATTGCCACTAAAAAACCGACAAATGTATTGCTAGTCACTACTCGGTGATCAGTCAGTCGCAGTTTTTTGTAAATTCTTATTTCAAGAAAGCAATAAGCTCGTCAGATCAGACCAACTTCATGATTGTGGATAAGCAAAGTGCTTACTTCCACTTGAAGTAACCAGTGATGATGCTGTCCTAAACAATCAAAGCTCCACAATTAAACCATCCAGCCAGATAACCAAATATTACCAATCACCATCTAGTTAAAAAATATCAAAAAATGACGTTTACTCACACACATTTAATCCACCTTGTTACAATATCTTATTGAACCGATGTAACTATTAGAATAGACGGGATGATTGGAGTGATAAACTCCTAAATGAATGAAACTTCCCTTGTCAGAAGACAAAAGACTGTTTACCTTATAGTTTATAGATTAAGAAATTAGATTTTTTTACGAATCCCTCTCCATTTTCGTCCCTTTCACCCGGTCCATGTCGTCCCATGATATTTTGTTACCCAGTTTTGTTCATTCTGACCTCGGCGTTTAGGCTTTTCATCAGGACGGTCAGGTCGTTTCCTGAGCACTTCACTATGATCCATTACAGCCTCTTGTAAAACCGATCTTTATTGTCGTCATCACTATGATTGGTAGGTGCATAACTTTGGATAACATCCATTATGATTCCCTCCTTCATTGTTTTGAAGAATGCTTGAATGATCCTGGATTCATGAGACAGCATCAGAGCAACTCTCTATGTGTGTGAAGCATTTTCTTCGTTTTTACCAGAGTACGGCTTGGGTCTAATGTGTTTCACTTATTCTGAGCACCTCCAATTTGTATATCCTTATTCCCGTACCTATTTGATTGGCCCTTCCGGTTTCTCACATTGTTCGAACATTCCATGTACCTATGTTAATTGTTGTTGTCGTTATTAGAAGAGGCATAGGCCTCATGACTTCCGAAGAATCTCGGTTTCTACCATGAGGTGTCATAGTTCTTCTGAATGGAGTTTCTTCAACTCTGAGGGCACAGTTTAAATGGTTTAAATTGTTTATTTTGGTTAGCTTCTTTTTAGCCGGGTTGTTTTCTACGAGATCGGGTTGCTAACCCTATGCTCAACCCTCTTCTTTTACCCTGACTTGGGACTTGGAGTAACCCTAGAAGAGCTACAGGCGGAGCTATTATGAAATTAAAACTGATAATTATATACAGAAAACACTTAAGCATAATAGTATCATTTCTCAGATAATGGGTGATAAAATGGAATCTACAAAGTAATCAGTGAAATTGCGCTTCTGCTCACTGTATCCCATATAAGTTAGACAAGTTATTAATTTACTGACATAATTTTAGAAGTGATGAAATACTAGTTTTTCACTTATAACATAAATATCAGTTGACTTATGTATTGTATTTTCTACCGATGTGATATACAAACCGTTCTAAGTTTGCTTAGGCGGTAGCGACAATAAACCGCTACCTGATAACCGATGGGTTATGTAAATAGGCTATTTGTTATAGCAATACGAATTATTTATGTTGTCACTAAACTTATTATTTAGGTCATCCTATGCTATTAATATTTTAATGTTGTCTAAACATATTATACGTGCAAACCAAAATAGGTCTTCAGGTTTGGGAATAAGAATATTTCAATTTAAACTACTGATTAAATATATTTACCTAGTTAGCTGATCATGTGTACCAGTAATATCAACCCGTTCAACTTGTTACATATTTATAGGTAGTTGAAATAGCTGGTTTAACGGATCATTTACTTAAAGAATGTGAAGCTTGTACACCAGGACAGTATGTTCGCTGTTCTAAATGTTCAGAAGCTGTATTAAAAACACATTTAAGCAATCATCACTGTTTACCTATCAAATTATCATCTGGACTACGTTGTCCACTTTGCCATCATGATTTACCAAATTTACCAGATTCAGTTGCTCCTGGTGGTCCAGAAGATGTTTGGAAAGCTCATTTATTAGGTTCATCCAATAGTACTATTCAAATGCCTCAATGTACAGAGAATCCAAGAAGTTTACAAAGTCAACAACAGAAATATAATGGCCATTCCACAAAAAATACCAGTACTTCAGAAGCTAGTGAGTAGTTTTTGAGGTTTTAACATCTTTTTTAGTTAGCGATTTGAGGCATAATTTTGATTGCAAGCTGAGTTACTGAAAGTTTAAGTTGAATTCCTGTAGTTTTTTGTGGAAAGTCGTGATTAATGTTGATAGTTATCAATAAATATCGTTAGATAATGGGGGAAGTGTATCACAGATTGACTATATTTGGAGATGCTAATTATACAATTTTCAACTTTGTTGTCTAAATATAACTTGGCAAGGTTTTGAGCTTAGTCTAGTATGATATCGTTCGTGTTCACTGATGAAAAGTAAGCCTATTTACTCTACTTATTAAACTTCGACGTTAAAAAGGAAGTTACATTTGCAAAGATAGATGTTAGTCATTTGGTGTGAAAACATGGATAATCTGTCTTCAGACCACAAGTTTATGTAATTGTACGCAGATTGAGGTGAGAAAAAGCCAGTGGTCACAAATTTAGATGAAAATTCTTGTTAACTTTGATTTGGGCAGCTTGATAGTATCATCGGTCTCCACATAAAACGTATAATTCTAAGCTAACTACACAAATATTTTTATTTCGTAAACAAGTCAATTTATTTTAAATCTTTTATGTTTACTAATACTTAAACGATTGTTATTTTGAAGTGAATCACTCGTGTTGTAGGCTCTAAATCCGATCCAAAATAATTGAAACAGTAGGTATAAAGGACTGTATTTACACAGAGGCCAGTTATATCTTTGTTTCAAATGGTAGAATATGCAATTTGAAAGGTATTTGATTCATAATAATATATATTGACATAAATATATATTTTTGATTGAATTCATGGATCGATCGATTTCAGATCACTTTTGAAAATGTAGAAGCACTGGACGGCTGTCTCGTCTAGCATGGGACTCATCAGTAGTGCTCATCACGATCCCGCACGCGGGATTCGAACCCAGTTTAGTTCTCTTTTTTTACAGTAACTAGTTCACTTCTTTTTAGAGGTTAATATTGTGAATATATTATAGAATCACAGTTATTTTACAAGTAATAGTTTTGTTGTAGACTACGATTCGATTGTTTATCATTGGACAACTTATTTTCAATCAAATCGACATTGTTATCTACTTTAATCTTTGTGTCACTTCCCTCTGTATTTAGATAAAGCGAAAAGTGGAATACCTCGACCGTTAAATGTAAACAAAGTTCGTCCGGTTTAACTAACTTGTACTTTATTTGCTATAGTTTTTTTGTTTTGTTTCTTTTCCCAAAGAAAAAATCATTTTCTTTCTACAGTTACAATTTTATTGTTTCAGTCTCTTTCTAAATAGAATTTTTTCAATCATGTACTATTCTATCCATCTATATATTCTTGGCTCACAAGTGGATTTCTTATCCATGAATAGGGGTATTCGTGTAAATGTGGTTTACTTTAATTTACTTTCAATATATGAAGGAGGACATTAATGTATATGAAAAATAGAAGACGAAGAATTAACTCCATTTTGTTTTTGGCGAATACAAGCAATTTATATAAAGTCTGTAAATTGGTCAATCTTATTTTCTCATCTGAATCAGTAATTCATTTTCATTAAATGAAGTTTTGTGTATGTTGGTTCAAAGCTTCATTCTTTTATCATTTCATGCTTGTATACAGTGTTGTTATAATCTTATAAATAATATACTTTTGTTTAAAAGAAAATATTTGTCAAATAACTTATTGTTTAGATGAACTACAGTTGTTCACACTACTGTTAATAATAATTATGTGCCTGTTATTAACTCTAAAATTTGGTTTACGATGCAACGCTGGTACTGTCATAACCGGTATATCTGTGTGTTTGCTGAAGTGTTCGTTTATTATACTTTACAATTCTTATTTTTTATCATTCAGTATCATCAGCATTTAAAAAAAAGTATTGATTGTTTTGGGTTTTTTCGTCTAAATGGGGTATTTTAAAAACAATAAACCAATCTCAATCATGCTAGTTTCATCAGCCCTGGTGGGTTAATTTCTGACGAGATCTCGGCATATATTCAGAAAACACAATTGATCTTTGTCATTTTTTGTTGGTTCTGGCGTAGACAAGACTTATCTTACTCTATGGCTGTGAAACAGTCTTTCAAGTACAATGGCTGCCTAGGCTATAGGTTTTTGGCCATAGATATATTTTAAGGATACCTCGCGTCTGGTGGATAGGTTGAGTAAACGTCGACGAACAATCTTGACTGTTGTAAGAGTTACTTAGAAGAAACCTAGTGGTGATCAAACCATAATTTAGCGCCAGTTTACAAAGCCATTGACTGTTGATCTAACCATATTGCTAAATGCAGACTATCTCGTGGGTTCCGTGAAATAGTCGCGATCAGTATTGATAAGGCGTACAATCGGTTACAACGAAACAGATGCATTTAGTCTCTGTTTCTGTAGGTCTTCATTTCGGTATACCTCAATGTTTCATCATTCTGTCTTTTTGAACCATATTTTTAATGTATAGTCCTCACTATCATTACTACTAACTTATTCCGGCTCCTTAATGTTCATCTTGTTGATCACATTTCAGCCTTGTTGTATGGTTCGGTAACTTGGGCCAAAGCACATTTGTACCAGGTTCCATACTGATGATGATTGGCTGACCACAAATCATTGATAAGCTAGTTAAGGATTAACCTAGCGAATTGCTTTAACCTTATTCTGTACGACTATTAATCAAGCCATGTGATCTAGTATCACTTCGTCAAGTAATTCGTTTATTTTGTTAAAACCTGTTTGAACAACTCATCTACACTTCTAAATGCATCAGTGAACTTTTCTACTATAACCGTTTGATGAAAAACAAGTTGTTTTGAGTTTATACAAAGACACTACCTGAATATGAGGAATATCAATAAACGTACAAGGTGTGGTTCGAACAAATTTAGAACTAAATGTTAAAGAGGTTCAACAATAAACAGACAGTACTTTGCATAAAACTGCAGTTACTGAATTTTTAAGGCTTAGATGAGAATATTGTGTTGGTAACTTATGCACTTATCTTTTAACACAGATTTAGTACTTTCGATTAATTTTGGTATGTTTTAATAGTACTAATTTTTTGATAGTACACTGAAATCGCAACATAGCTAATAGTTCAAGAATTGGGACAGGGGTTATAGTATCATTGAAAGTTTGATAGAAATAACTGAGTAAATTTTAAACAGGAACATTAAGATCGTAGGACAATGGCTCATGGATATTTTTATGAAAATTGAAAGTTGTCTTTGTAATTTCGACTGGTAATGAATAAATATGTGGTCAAATAGTAAATGTTCCTTGAATTAAAATATATCTCAAATCGGAAACAAATATTTAAATGTCCTTGTTTCTCCAATTTTATGTAAAAGTCCTTTCATTGAGATGTATGTACCAGCTTGCCCAGAAAAGAGCTGGATGGAGAATACTGGTGGGCGGCCTATGAGCCTCCATGAGGGGCAACAGGCGCAAGTTACTGATTGATTACATCTAGCTGGGCGTGCTTCCATTTTGTCCGACAAATACTCGAAATGTGATCATGAGAACTTTAACAAGTTTATGGGATTTTCTTTTAAGTGAGTCTCGTTTGTAGAAATACACGTCCCATCTACATTTATTTTACTCAAAAATTCTTGAAAATCCTCAGACATTAGGCAGTTTGGATACGTTGTCGCTGGATATTTTACTAGAGTCGCGTTCACAGTTAACATCGAAATTCAGTTCATAAACAGTTATTCACACAGTTAAAAGTATTTGACAGGCTGTACATATCCGATATTTTCCCTAATCCAAAAGAACAACCGTCATTTCGGCCTCGGGCAAACCTCATAGACTGCATAGAATAGGTTATTCTACTTGAAAGAGTCTTATTTTTTGTATTATCTACATAGGCAGACCTCAGCATTTCATGATATTCGTGAGAAGTTTACTTTATTTTCGTCCGATATACTTAGTAGCTCAGCTTCCTTATTTATTAGACACACTCTGTATGTTTAAGCAGTTTGGCTCTAAGTTTGTGAAGTTTCCAACACATTTTACGCATGAATCCGTCAATTGTGATATGTAGTTGGCTAGAAGTGACGCTTAATTTCATTTAATTCTGTATATTACGTAGGCCAACCCCATCTATGTGACGTTGGTGAGAAGACAAATACGGATTCTGTCAAACGAATTTATTTCAAGTACTCACTTATCCAGACAGGCATTCAGAATAAAAAGCGGGAATGTAAAGCGAAGTGAAGAAGGCATGTGTGCCAACTCCATTTTATCGGGTGGCTCGATATTTCTAGTTAGACAAAAATAAGCCAAATACATTTGATGAATAGGGTAAGCGATGGATACATATAGAAACTCACATAGAAACAGTCAAGGTTAGCAAGCTAATAACTGACAAGGTCAAAATGTCACTCGAAAATGAATAAACTGATCTGTTTGTAGGCTAGAATAACCCATTTTCGTTTGACACAGAATAGACACTACAGTCTTATCGTACGGGTATAATGGGACCCTGAACTATTTTATCTTTAAGAACTTTGTTATTTCAGGTGACACGATTCATTATAATGGTTCCAGTTAGTTTTTGCAGAGTTAAGTTCTCTTACTACGTAATTCAATATTAATGTTTTGTGTTTAATCCCTAATTGATGGAACTACATGATGCACATTTTTTTCTTCTTAAAAGTGAAATTCGCCGATAATTAAAATTAAAGAAAATAATTTTTACCTAAACAATTAAACTAGAATACACTCCATTGTGGTTGTTTAGTGAAATGCTGATCAAATGCAAAAATCTCGAATGAAAAAATGTCTTAAGTAAATGCATAGTATTAAGACTAGTTGATAATTATTTATTACTGCGTACTTGGTAACGAATAAGCCTCCTGTGAAGTCACAATACCAACAGGTGTGTCATCAAGGACATTATCGTCTGATATTGAACACGTTAACTTTAAGCATATTGAGCCAGAATTAAGTGTTACAATTTTTGATTTCAATCGGCTACCAGTGTATACGCGACAATTATCCAGTGCCACTAGTATTAACCTACTCACTATCGACTTGGATGAATTAAACAAGTCACACCTTTTCATTGAAATAACCGAGATCTATTTCGATACTAGTCACACTAGTGAGTAAATAATTACAGTTCAATTTATTTGTACATCAATAACTAATATACAATGATGAGGAATGTTTGACTGATACAGGACATCTGTCCATTGCTTCCTCGTTTTCCGTGGTATTCCGATAGATATAAATCCATAGCAAAAGTTCATCTTCGTAAATTTATCATTATTCTTATTATTTAATAATCTGTAATCACTGGTATTTAGATAAGAATAACCATAGTGTAGATATTTTTAGACCTTATCAGAATGGATAAATTTTATCATAGACAAATTTACTACAAAATAATTTATCTATTACATCACCGTATTACTTTTAGAAATCTAATTTATATACCTAATAAGAATTGGGTGTTTGTAGAGATTATAGTAACTCCGCCTGGAGTCCCTCCGGGGGCTACTGCCGGTCCCAAGCCCGGATAAAGGAGGAGGGTTGGGCATGGGGTTAGCGTCGCCATCCCGTAAAAAACTAACTCGCTAAAAAACCCTAACCAGAAAAATTATTCAAGCCACTTAAACTCTGCCCTGGGAGTCAGAAGGTCTTCATTTAGAAGAACTATGACGCCTCATGATGAAAGCCGAATTCCTTCGGAAGTTACGAGGCCGATGCCCCTTTTGACAACTAGAGCAACCATTTATTTAGGTATATGGAATGTTCGTACAATGTGGGACACCGGGAGGGCCTTCAAATTGCTGCAGAAATGAGAAGATACAACCTAGAGGTGCTTGGGATCAGTGAAACATACTGGACGCAAGTTGGACAATAATGACTAGCTTCAGGGGAGCTTCTGTCATACTCCGGCCATGAAGAAGAAAATGCTCCACATACACAAGGAGTTGTATTGATGCTGTCCAAACAAGCACAAAATGCACTTATAGGGTGGGAATCTCATGGACCAAGGATCATCAAAGCCTCCTTCAAAACAAAGAAAGAGGACATTTTAATGAACGTCATCAAATGTTATGCGACTACCAACGACTACAATGAAGACGTTAAAGAACAATTCTACGATAAGCTGCAGTCAATCGTCGACAAGTGCCCAACAAAGGACTTGACCATTCTGATGGGAGATCTAAATGC